AGAGAGACAGAGCATCGAAATCAACTCTCGGAACTGAACTGCTGCGCTGCAAAACGGACAGCAAAAAAGTCTTGAAGTGCGGGTACCTCTGAGAGGAGGTGGTTGCTTACAGTATTTATTACGTACCTGATAACGGTGCTTTCTCCTACAGTGTGGTGGCCTTAGAACCTCCCCAGTTTGCATGCCCTGCCTGGCCTGGGGTGAGCGCGGTTACCCGACTTAGTTTGGGAGCACAGCGTGCAAAGTTGGCTCAAAAAGTTGACGTGTTCCCCAAAGCCATCCCATTCACTGCCACCTACACGCCCCGCGATCGCGCATGGCCAATTATTTCGCTTCCAAGGCACGACTGGAAATCTCCTCCGGGTTTCCCTCCCTCCAGCACACTGATTCCGGGAGTCGTCGCCCTGTCCCTCTCGCACCTGTGCGGAACGCCGCGTGAGTGCGAGAGAGACAGGGCGGTGAGAACGACTCTCAGGCTGCTGCCTCGGCGGTGCCGGAAGTGCCTGGAGGGGGGGGGGGGCACGGAGTGGCGACCGGCACGTACTGGAACGGCAGCGAGGGCCGGAAGAGGGGAATCTGCGTGCGGAAAGTTCAGCCAGGTAGGGCACGTCTCCGTCGAGGCCGGGCGAGGCCGGGCGAGGGAGGACCTGGCAAGGACCGACACCGACCGTGCGGCCCGGCCGGCCCGGCGCACCTCAGGCCTTCGGCTTCAGCAGCTCAAAGGCAAGGCGGCTTCCTCGTAGGGTAGCGACGCACAGTGGGCCAGGAGACCGGTGGAGGCGGTCAAAAGCCCGGACGCGTTTCGACCTCCAGAGTCGCTAAATGGGACTCGAACCGAAGGTGTGACCCCATCAATGGATTGCTCGCCGAATGAGGAATCCATTGGTGGGGTCTCACGTTCCGTTCGAATCCTATTTCGCGACTCTGGGGCTCAAAACGCGTCTGGAGTTTTGGCCGCCTCCGCCCTCTCTGCAGCGTGAGGCTGCGCCGGGCTGCGCGCTCGACAGCCCGGGCGGGTGGATTAGAGCTCGGCCTGCTACTTGCGTGCTGCGCTGCTTGGAGGAGACGCGGTGCCGCGCTGCCGGAGTGGGGAGGGGGCCAAGTGGCGGCGCGCGGGAAGGCCATCGGCGGGCGCAACAAAATATCTTTAGAGGCTCTCAAGTATACGGCCTTGTCTCACACGCAGATTTCGCGTGGTCCCCGAAGGGCGCCGAAGGGACATGATGGATTTTTGAGGACTAGGTTGGTCGTAACTCCTCCCTCCGTACTCTGCGTTACTCCCTGTTCAAGTGCACGCTGCAAGTGCAATCCGGTCTCTCTCAAAAAATTTCAGTCGAGTTGGCTAAAAGCGACTAAAATTGAGCTCGTTTTGAATAAGTACCTTCATTGTCGTGTTGTAAGACCCTCACAAAAATTGTGTTTCTTTGTTTTCTTTGTTAGCTCATTTTTTTTGGCAGTGTTATTTTTCGTACCTTGTTTGGGCTGTGCTCTTAGCCTTTCACCGCGGCGACAGAACCTGGCCGCTCCCTCCAGGAGGCTCGGCTTGTTTACGCCGTGGCCGAGGCACCGCGCTCCGCCGCGCCAGACACAGGGCCTTGTTATGTGGCCTGGGTGCCCCCGCCCCCGCTTCGGCCTCCGCCGACGAGGCCGGAATCTTCGATGCCGCCGGAGAGGGAGAAAAGGGAGGAGGACGCGTGGCGTGCGTGTGTAGTAGCAGGGCCACTTTCGGGGCCTTGTCGGCCTCCTCCACGGTCTACACCTCGGCCTGCACCACGGCCTCCACGGCCTCCAAGGCCCGCCCGCAACTCGCGTGCTGCTGCTATACACTGTAATCGCGTTCCCGAAATCTGATAAGAAAAATCCCCCGCGATAATAATTAGAGTTGTTGTTGTTGTTGCTGCGCCCCCCGCCCCCGCCCCAGCCGGCCTATGAAGTCGGCCAAGTGCAGCGCAAACATTTTGGGGCGACGGCGGCGCGGCCGGCGGCCAGCAGCACCGCCGTGTTGTTTCGGCCGCCCAATAATTTCCTTTGTAGTGGTTCGAGGCCGAGGAGAACACAGGTGGCCGTGAAATGTCCGCGTTTTGTGTTTTTCGTTTTCGAGTGTTGTGCGGCCTCTCGCCCTGCCTCAATCCGCCGCGCAGTGATACACTAGGCCCGCCCACTCGCGCGGAATTACAACGAAACCGAATTAAAATTTCACCACATTCGGGCTGGCGCCAGTGAGAGGTGCGTGTGTGTGCGTGCGTGTTTCGGCCTTTTTGCAGGGAGCCCTAGCCAGGCCCTTGGCCAAATGGAAGCGGGGTGGAGCAGGGCCCGGGGGAGAGAACATCAAACGCGACGCGCACGCTCGCCGGCCCCGACTCGCCCAGGCTGAATGCAGGGCGCGATACGTGCTTTGGCGAGACGCCTCCGCGCGTCGCCACTTTACAAAGACGCCCCTTCGGACCTTTGGCTGCCCCCTCAAATCACTCTCACTTCCGCGTCGCCCAGAAAGCGAGCCCCCAACACACTCCGGACGGTGGTCATTTGAATGGTCGAGAAGGCCCATTCCTCTCGCGACTGCCTGTACTGTACCAAGGGCGTGGCGCTGAGTCTTGAGCGAGCCCTGCGGTGCTGGGAGGCCTTGATCATACTGCCTGCTTTTCGCTCGGTACACCTCCACCTGGAGGGCGGCTACGGTAAAAAAAATCCGAGCGCTCCGAAAGACTCCGGGGCCAGCGCCGCCCACTCACACTTAATTAAAACATCCCTCTGCTTTCTTGTCGCCATATTTAATCCTTGGCGCGCAGAGCAGCATACCGCAAAAACAGTCCTCTGCAAGTTGGTCGGTCTGCCGACAGATCTGGCCTTCGCCGCTCGTCTCTCTCTCTCGCTCGCGCCTTTCCAGGACGCCCTGGGGTGTGACAGAGACAGCGAGGCAGCGAGTCCTCATCTGAATCAGTCTGCCGCCGCCTGAGCGGCAACAGGTCGCGGAGGCCGCGGAGGCCGCGGAGCAGGAGGGGGAAGGTTGCCGGCAAAACCAGCCGGCCCGCCGGAGGACTAGGAGGACGGCGAGGACTTGGCACCTCGCCGTCGTGGCTCGACAGCCAGGGCCGCCAGGGCCGCCAGGGCGTCGGGGAGCAGCGCCGGCGGCGGTCTTGTCCTCGCGCAAACTTTGGACTCCTTGGAACTTTGCACGCGTCGGCCGCCGCCAGCAACGTGAGCGAGATGCACATTCCTGCCTCGGAATAAAAACACGCTGAGCGGACGGCGGCGTCGGGCGGACCAGAATGAAGGGGAAAGTGTGAAAAGCCGTCTGGAAATCACACAGTGGGCCAGAAGACCGGTGGAGGTGGCCAAAACTCTAGACGCGTATGGAGCTCCAGAGTCGCTAAAAGGGACTCGAACCGAATGTGTGACCCCACCAATGGATTGCTCTCCGAACGAGGAATCCATTGGTGGGGTCGCACGTTCGGTCGGTTCGAGTCCTGTTTAGTGACTCTGGAGCTGAAAACGCGTCCGGGTTTTCGGCCGCCTCCACTTGGTCCTCGGGCCCACTGTGACTCGGCCTCTTCGGGGTGCTCCGGCCTCTTGCCGTGTGCGTTGCTTTTGGTTGACGGCGTCGTGGTCCTTTGACTGCGGCGCCGGCAGCGCGACCCCTTTGGGAGTCTTCGACGGCCTTGCCCGGCCTTGCCCTGCCGCCAGTGGCCCATAGTGGCTGCCCCAGTGGCTGCCCCAGTGGCTGCCCCAGTGGCTGCCCAGGCGTATGATTCGAATTATGGACGCGTCCGGCCCTTGACTTGCTCCAGGGCCCTCACGGCGATGCTCAACTCCGAGCGGCAAGTTCCGTCGCTCTGTCTCTCTCGCGCCCCCGCCGGCCGCCCCGCGAGAAAGAGAGAGAGAGAGAGAGAGAGAGAGAGAGAGAGAGAGAGAGAGAGAGAGAGAGAGAGAGAGAGTCCTGCCGCGGCGCGCTTATTACCCGGCAGCGCCCAGCTTGTTGACGCACACTTGGCCCTCCTTGTTGGCGGAGAGCGCCCTTCTCGCGATTATTCTCCCCTGGCGAAAAAAAAAGGATGAGCATAATAAACGTACACATTCTTCAAGTCTGTTGTTGTTGCTGTTTTTGTTGTTGTGCCCGAGGGCGGCGAGGAGGGAGGGGAGACAGGACAGGTGGGCTTCAAGAGGAAAACTGACAGGGTGGCCGAGGCCGAGCCGTGGTCTTCGGAAAGAGGGCTGCTGTGTGTGTGTGTGTGTGTGTGTGTGTGTTTGTTTTTTGTGCGTGTTTGCGTGTGCGTGCGTGAGTTTTTCTGCGGGGGCAGCAGGCACGATAAAGTTTAACGGAGTGCCTGGCGGGCCTGGCGGCGCTGGTCCACGCACGCAGTTCCAAAAATTTAAGTGCCCCTCTCGCCCCTTCGCCGTGGCCGCGAGAGAGATTCTCTCCTCTGCTGTGTTGTCGCTGGGCGGCGGCGGATCCAGCAGACTGAGTCGTTTTCATCGCTCCGTCTCTGTCGCACTCGTGGGGCGTTGGGCTTGGGTGCGAGAGAGACAGAGCGACGCAGGGGGAGCGGATTCGCCCCCGCAGTGTGCAGCGGCCTGCAGCCACGCGCCGCGCTGTCCACTCGGCCATTCCACGCACGCGCGCGTCGTCGGCGTCCCGGAGCCCGCTTCCGAGAGTTTGCTTTCATCGCTCTGCCTCTCTCGCACCCTCATGGCGAGCCACACGAGCGCGACAGAGACAGAGCGACGAGGGCGACTCTTGGCCGGCCGGCCACCGGAACGGCCGGAACACAACAACACGCGTGGCGAGGGGGGCGCCCCGTGGGGGCAACACGCGGCGCCCCGAGCAGCGACCGCCACAAACAATAATTGCATCCACAGCGAGTGCACCGCACTGTCGCAGTGCCAAAGGCCGCCGAAGGTCTTGTCGTTTGCGGAGTGCCCCGCTCTCTCTGTCTCTCTCTGCGGCGGTCTTTGACTGTGGTTTTGCTCTCTCTGTCGCAGGCGGCGATGGTGACCGTGGCGCCGCGAGGGTAGCGCCCGCCCTCCACTGAGACGAGCGGCTCCAGCGGCTCCAGCGGTTCCAGGAGTGGCGCTAGCAGCATGACGGCCTCGCCCGCGGTGGTGGAGGCGGGCGGCGGCGGGCTGCCCGTGTCCGCGGGCCTGGGCATCCGCGGCGGCCTGTCCTACCTCGCCGACTGCCACAACAGCACGCACGGCGACGCGGCGCCCCTCTGCGGCATGATGGACTACAACAACACGGCCGGCGCCGGCGACGAGATGGTGGGCCCGCTCATGGAGCGCATCGTGTCGTACGTGGTGCCCCTCATCTTCCTCGTCATCGTGGTGGTGGGGCTGATCGGCAACGCGCTGGTGAGTGGATCCACTAATGAGCGGAATCAATGCACGGCACGGAGCCGACCGCGCGCCGCGCTCACACGTGGTTACTTCAAAGGGCTTACGCGGCGCGCCGTGCCCGCGGGAGCCGGCACACTGTACTCTCTTTTCCCGCCTCCGGGGTCTCGAATGGGACTGTTACTGATTCCGAGAGTCGTTCGTCGCTCTGTCTCTCTCGCACCATGGGGCGTCCCGTATGTAGGCGCGAGAGAGACAGCGACGACAAACGCCTCTCGGAATCAGTCTGCTGCCCTTCGAACGAGGACTCCATCAGTACATCCACACGCTTTCACCACACACAAATGATCCTCCGGTTGTCGGGGCGTTCGGTTCAAACCGCGTCCGGAGGTCCACGTCGGCCGCCCGACCCACTGAGGCTTCCTCTCGGGGTGCATGACCGCCAGCAACGCCGGCACCGCCACGCTGCCGAGGCTCACAACTCACCCTCGACGCGCCAGCCCTTCGACCAGGGCGACAAAGGCGGCGGCGGACTGATTCCGAACGACGGCCTGCTTCTGTCTCTCTCGCTCCCGTCGGGGCGTCGCGTGGTGGAGCGAGAGAGACAGAAGCAGGCCGTTGTTCGGAATCAGTCTCAGCCGGCAGGCAGGCCGTCCGCAGCGCAGCCACTCGAGAGGGGCAATTTTTAGTGATCGGTATATTGCGTTATTTTACGATTTATGTGGCCGTGGCGGCGAGGCGCGGAGGGGGAGGGGGCGGGGGTATATTGCCTCTCGCCACCAGGGCGGTGCCCCCGACCCCCTCGCCCGACGCGCGCCCGTAGACCAGCGACCAGGGTCATACAACACAATAATAAATCAATCTACGGCGTGTCTCGGGGGCGCGACGTCGTCGTGGGCCTACGCCTCCTCCTCGACGTCGTCGACGGCGAGGTTCACTCTCGCCGTTGGAAACGCCCCGCCGGCCACGCGGACGGCGCGTAAATGACAAGAGCGGGGGGAAGGGGCACGGGGCTAATTATTTTAATTATCACGAGGATGAGTCGTCGTCGCGACGGCCTCGTCGAAGTTGAAAGGGGGCGTGGATTCGCGGCAGCGCCGCGCCGAGAACCGGCAGCCCGTCCCCGAGGCTTCGGCGCCGACCCGCGACAGCGCGCGACAGCGAGACGCGGTAGTCCGTCTCTGAGAACGCGGATCCTAAAAATGAAATGTTTCTGAACAATTTGTTTTCATCATCTTCCAGGTGGTGATCGTGGTGGCGGCCAACGCGCAGATGCGCAGCACCACGAACCTGCTCATCATCAACCTGGCCGTGGCGGACCTGCTGTTCATCGTGTTCTGCGTGCCGTTCACCGGCACCGACTACTCGCTGCCGTCCTGGCCGTTCGGCGACACGTGGTGCAAGATCGTGCAGTACCTCATCGTGGTCACGTCCATGGCGTCCGTGTACACGCTGGTGCTCATGTCGCTGGACCGCTTCCTGGCCGTCGTCTACCCCATCTCCTCCATGACGGTAGGTGTGCTGCGCCCGGCGCAGCGGAGGCGGCCAAAATCCCGGACGCGTTTTGAGCTCCATAGTCACTAAATGGGACTCGAACCGAACGTGTGACCCCACCAATGATGGATTCCTCGTTCGGAGAGCAATCCATTGGTGGGGTCACACGTTCGGTTCGAGTCCCATTTAGTGACTGTGGAGCTCAAAACGCTCCGGGGTTTCGGCCACCTCCACCGGTCTTCTGGCCCACTGAGCGTCGTTTCGTCGCGCAGGCGACGCCCACTCGAACGGCGAGGCGGTGCGAGGCGGGGCGAGGCGGGGCGTGGGCGTGGACCCACTTTGCCCGTCATTCTCTTCTCTTTCTATGAAAGAAATCCGAGCCGGGCGCGCCACAAAATTAAATTATCGTTTTCCAATAAACGCTTTCCCTTGTCGTATACCAATACGGGCGTGACTGGCGCCGTCACTGAGAGCGCGCCACAAAATGAGAACAAAACGAGAATAAAAGGCGGAGTCAATTCCCTTCCCTTCGCTCGGTGCCCGGCCGCCCGGCCGCCTGCCTGGCCACCTCGTTGTCGCGGCGATGACTTAATTATCTGCAGAGCGATTCCGAACCCCGTCGCTCCGTCTCTCTCTTGAGGCGTTCCGCGAGCGTGCGAGAGAGACGGAGCGACGGTCTGCTGGGGAAACCCTCGCCGCCCTGCCAGAGGGACGGACGGAAAGGCCGTCGAGTCGAGGCCGACACTACACCGATCACGTTTTCGACTCCGGAGCCCTCAAACGGGCCTTGAATCCGACGCATGGCCCCGCCAATGGATTCCGCGCTCGACGGGCAGCCCGTTGCTGGGGCCATGCGTTTGATTCGAGGCCCGTTTGAGGGCTTCGGAGTCTGAAAAGTCTCCAGCCAAAGTGCCCGCGCGCCCTGCCGCGCCCCGACTGCCAGCATGCTGTAGTCTCATTCCGAGAGTCGTTTTCGCCGCTCTGTCTCTCTCGCACCTATGCGGAACGTCCCGTGAGTGCGAGAGAGACAGACAGAAAAGACAGAGACAGAAAACGACTCTCGGAGTCAGTCTGCTGCTAGCATGCCTGCCACTCACAGCGGACGACGGGCAGCTGCACTATTTAAGCGGGAAGAATGGCGGCACGAAATGGCGTTTCGTTTTTCATGCCGCCCTCGGCCGCCCTTGACTGCACTGATACAGTTTTCAGACGGATGGCCAGCGAGGACTCTGTCTCTCCCTCTCTCTCTCTCTCCCTCGACCCTCCCTCTCTGCTCTCTTCCTCTCTGTCTCTCCCTCTCTGTCCTCTTCCTCTCTGTCTCTCCCTTGTCTCTCCCTCTCTTCTCTCTCCGTCGTCGGGGTGTTAGGTAGACCCGGACGGAGTCTGTGTGGTAACGCAGTGGTCACGACGAGTTGGGGTCGAATTCATTCTTTTATTCATCCCAATGTTTTATTGGTAGTCTACTAAGAGTCGTTGAGACGGGGGAAATGGGGGGGGGGGCTCTCGAGGCCGGAATCCGGACTGCGGCTCCCCTGCTCTCCTCTCCTCACTCGACTCCGTGAAGAAGAACGACTATAATTAGCGCGCCACTGACACGCGATTAGCCCCGAACTCCCCCAAGAAAAGAGTACGCAAAAAAGGGAAAAGTTTCCCCCTCTCTCAGTCATCTGTCCACAGCACGTGCTGGTTCTTTCCGTCCATCTCTCTCTTTCTGTGTCCGTGTGCGGACAGGCGGTGTCTGAAACAGCTTGCAGGTGACAGCCTCGCGCGCTTCGCCGGAACGGAACGTGTCGCGTCACGCCGAGGTCCCCGACGAGGACCCCGACGAGGACCCCGACGAGGCCACCGCGCCGCGTCGCCGCTAACTCTGTTTGCGGACGGAAAGAGGATCTGGGCTCGCCGCGGCGGCGCGGCGCGACGAGCAGGCCGACGGGGCGGACGCAGTCGACCCCTATCCAACGGCCGCCGCCCCGGGGATTTCGAATTCGGCTCATCCCGAACAGCGCTTGCCTCACTCCGTCTCTCTCGCACCCACGGCTCGTCCCCGCAAGTCTGCGAGAGAGAAGGGCTGAGCAGCGCAAAAGCAGTGTTGCCCTGTCGTGTTGACCCAGACGGGATAGACTTTTGGCTGGCAGAGGTTGGCGGGGCCCGCTACTGAAATTTGCATCGCTCGTGGCGCGGGAGGGCTTGGAGGCCGTCGTCGCCGAGTCAGCCGCCCTTCCGCGTCCGCGCGTCGCCGGGAACGGGAACCGAAGGGAAACCGAAGGCAACCCGAAGGGAACCCGAAGCCGCCCGGCGGCAAACCTGCGCCAAATTATGCCCGAGACGAACTGGGCCGCCTGTTTTCCGGTACGAAGAGAGCGCGGCGTTTGTGAATGCATGAAAGGAGAACCCTTAAAGGCTGCCTCCGAACTTGAACAGAACTCTGTCTTCCTCGCACTCGCGGGGCGTCCCGTTGGAGAGAGAGAGAGAGAGAGAGAGAGAGAGAGAGAGAGAGAGAGAGAGAGCGGCAGAAGCAGGGTAGGCTCTGTGCCGGCCAAGGACGACGGCCGAGCCTCCCTTTTCGCGACCTCGCGATGAGTCGCGATGAGTCCTCTCGTCGTCGCAGGGGGAGTCAGTTTCAGAAATAGAACCCACCGCTGCAATTGTTCATCCCACCCGTGTCCTTCACGACCTGCCTTCCGTCTGTCTGTCTGTCTTTCTGACAGTATGTCCGCCTGCCTGCCTGCCTGTCTGCCTGTCTGTCTGTCTGTCCGTCCGTCTGTCTGCCCACCTGCCCCACTCGCCCTTCCTTCCGCGCGGCTGCCCCAGGGCTGCCCCGGGGTTGCCCTTGGGCGGACTAACCCACTCGGGCGTCAGATTGGCTGCAAAGCGAAACAAAGCGAGAGGGCGCGCAGAATAAATAAAGCTCCCTTTATTATTGAGAGGGGATCGAAGGCACCGCCTTCCTCGCGATGCTCATTACGCTCCATGAGTCGTTCGCTCTGTCTCTCTCGCACCTGTTTGGGACGCCCCGCGAGTGCGAGAGAGACGAAACGACTCGCGGAATCAGTCTGGCGGCCTCGCCTCGCGCCTCGCCTGCCCGATTGCCTTTTGTCTCACACAGCCTCTTAACTGAACAAGGAAGCCCCCGCTACAAACGGGTGCGCTGCGCGCCGGGGTACGGCAATAGATCCACCCCCCCGGCAAAAGAACCGGGGGTGACTTTACCGCGGGGTAAAACCACCGCCCTTGGCTGACTGCTGAGAAGGGGGGGGTTTTTTACCGAGGTAAGTCACCCCCCTCTGGTCCTGGGGAGTGGTTCTATCCCCTGGTAGAACCCCCCCCTAGCTGGCTCAGGGGGGTGCATCTATCACGGGATAAAACCACCCCCCAAAGACGGGGTTTTCTTTATCACGGGGTGAAACCACCCCCCAAATTTTCATATTGACGGGGGTTTTACAGCATTCCGCCCAAAACGGCAAAACGAAAGCCTCACACTTAATACTATGTAGTTTTTCTGCGCGCCAATGCACGAAATTTTAAAAACGCACTTCGTAACGCACGAATTTGTGCGCGACAAGAAACGATTTTTGTGCGTGAGTATGCAGAAAATCGTGCATTGTCGCGCACAAATTCGTGCGTTACGAAGTGCATGTTTAAATTTTGTGCATCGGGCGCAGAAAAAAACTTCATAGGAATTTAGTGTGTGGAATGCAAACAAAAAATCGCGAAGGTGTTTGCAATACAAAGCTGGTGAATATTACGTTTCCAAAGCACTTTCGTTTGCAAGCTTTCAAGTATGCGCCCCGATTTTGGGTGTACAGTCTTGTGGAGACGAAAAAAAGCGTAAAGATGACCGGGACGCTCTCCCGAAAAATATGCAAAATATGGGGGGTTGTTTCATCACGAGATGAAATGACCCACCATTTTCAGGGGGGTGCTTTTATCACGGGATGAACCCCCCCGGTGGTTCTATCCCGTGATAAATGCACCCCTCTGAGCCAGCTAGGGGGGTGGTTCTACCACGGGATAAAACCACTCCCTACACGGATCAGGGGGGTGACTTCACCACGGCACTGTGCGAAAAAACCACAGTGAATCCCGTTAATTTTTTTGCCGGGATTTACTGTAGTTCAGAACACAGGATTTACCGTGCCTGGCTACAGTATCTACTGTACCTGGTACAGGATATTCCGTACTCCACTCCTGTGGTACAGTAAATCCCGTAGAAAGTACAGTAGATCCTGTTAAAAAAGTACAGTAAATCCTGTACTCTGAACTACAGTGACCGCTGTACTAATCACTACAGGATTTACTGTGATTTTTTCCCACAGTGGGGTTGAAACCACCCCCCTCAGGAATCAGCCTAGGGGGGTGGTTTTATCCCGTGGTAAAGTCCCCCCCGGTGCCTTTTCCAGGGTGGGTGGATCTATAACCTCGCGCCGGGACCATTGTTCCTTTCCTGAGGCGCAGTCACTCGGGGTGGCGCGCCCGGCTGCCTGGGTTTGCTCTCTCGATTACTTTCTCCAAGTCTTTTCCACACGCACGCGCGCGCACACACACACGCACACAGACTCTCACCACCACACACGCACACGGCGAGTGAGATTAGCCGTCGAAATGAGGTGGTTGAAAGGCGCTGTATTGAATAAGGCCTCCGCGCCGTTTGTAGCGCGGGCCTGCCCGGGCCTAGCGCCTCAATCCGAGATCGTCTCCGTCGCGCTGTCTCTCTCGCACTCACGGGGCGTGCCCTGCTGGTGCGAGAGAGAGACAGCGACGAAAACGACTCTCGGAAACGGTCTGCTGGCCGGGCGAGGCGGGGCGGGGTGGGGCGGGGCAGCTGGAGGGCCCCGGAGGGGGCCTTGCCGGTGAGAGCGAAGAGGTTGGAGTGGAGAGGGGCGGCAAATCCGCGGGGCGGCCTTCCATATTCCATATCAAGTTTGAGCCGCGGAGCCGCCACGCGCCGAGGGGCGCGCACACACACGCACACACACACACACACACACACACACACACACACACACACACACACACACACACACACACTTGCATCCGCGGAGCAGGAAGGCTAAATGGCGGGACCGCCCGCCGACTGAAAGCTGAAGCCGTGTGATGGCGGCGGAGAAAAGCTGAAAGGGCAGGCAAAAGAATATTTGTTTCCGAGATCGACTCGGCGTTCGCGCTCTCTGCCCCGCGCCGCCCCGCGCCGCCGTCTTGCCGAGGGTTTCCCGATACAGCTGTACACTGTACGCACGCCTTTGCGCGCCCGCCTGTGCCCCAGACCCCGACGCCACCAACAAGGCAGAGGAGACGCAAAAAGAGGAGAAGGTGCATCGGGAGTCGCGTTTTGTGCGATCTCAGGCCCAAAAGTCCGTGGCGGGCCGGCGGGCCACGCTACGCGTGGCAGAGCATCCGGTTCATACTTTACACCAACTCGCCTCGTCTTGTTGCAGTACCGCACGGAGCGCAACGCCCTGCTGGCCATCTGGATCATGTGGATCATCTTCCTGGTCATCTCCGTGCCCGCCTACATGTACCACGGCCTGGAGACCTACTCCCACGGCGAGGTCCAGCACTCGCACTGCATCTTCCTGGAGGCCGACCCCGTGCTCCGCAACTTCAGGGTGAGTATGGCACACTGTTCACCTGCTGGAGCTCACTGTTGAGTGTAGCGCGCGGCGACGCAACCAATCTCCACGAAGTTGATACCCCTCACTGAACGGCCGAACGGCCAACGGGACCAGCCCTCCTTGAGATCGTAACGCCCCGGCGGCGTCCTTCCTTGCTGCAGTGCCCGCAGTGCCCGCAGTGCCCGCAGTGCACCCGACGCCGCCCCGCGCAAGAAGCGCTTGACGTGATGCATGGAGGCACCTGCGAGATAGGTCGTGAGCAATGTCCCCCCGGCGGGCCGGCACTGGGTCGGCAGCGCGGCGGCGTCGAACGTCGCTATTTTTCCGGACCCGGACCGACCAATCCGGAGGCAGGGGCACAGTGCACCCCGGCGCCAATCGCAAACTCGCAAACCCAAAGAGACCACCAGCCCGGAGAGGGAGTGGGACGAGTGCGATTGTTCATCGTCTTGTTTCGACGCCCCAAAGTCAACCCGAATTCGCGATTTTCGTCCATTTGTCCTCGTCGTGTCAGCGGCTGCGTCACCGTCATCATTTCACCCCCCTTTTAATTCGGCAAGTTTTGTGTGCCCGTCGCGTGTGACGACCGCCGGCTCCGCGCAGCTTGGCGCGCAGCTCGGCGTAAACTTTGTCGAAGCCTTTAAGCCCTTCCTGGCCCGACACTGGATTGCCCCACCCCTTGCGTCGCCCGCCCTTTTCCAACGGCCGAGACGTGAGAATGAGTCGCACTTTTCTGCCGCTTTTTCCGAAAGAACTTTTCCAATTTGAGGTGTCGGAGGCCGCCGCCGTGAAGGGGCTGTGTACTCGGTGGGACTGCCCGGCGGCCGGACGGCCAGGCCGGCCCAGCCTGGTCGCCAGGTAGGAGCCGTGCGGGCCGTCTTGAGGCTTATTCCGAGCCTGGAGTTCAAAAAACATCTAGAGTATTGGCTACCTCCACCGGTCTTCTGGCCCACTGTGCGCAGCGGCGCGCGCCAGGCTAGTTTTTCCCATTTCCTCCGCCTCTCCGACTGCGAGCGCCTCCCGTCGTCGTGTAGGCCTCACGGTTGGCCAGCGCGTCGCGCGTGTTGCCTACCCCTGCTTCCGCGGGCGCCCACCCCGCCCCGCCTCACCCCGCCCCGCCCCATCCCACCCCGCCGCCCACTGTCCGGCAATTAGTTGGCCGGCTCTGTCCACTTGAGCCGCGGCGTCCGCCCCCCCCCCCCCCCCCCGAAGAAGACCGCCAAGTCGTTCCCCTCCTTCCTTTCGCTATCCGCCGAGGTGTCCCCGAGGCCCAATATCGTCCTCCCTAATGGTGGCGTCCGTGTGCCCCGCTAGACGTAGTCCAGTCCGCCGGCCGCCGCCAAGGGGGCACTCGCGGGGCCCGGCGAAACTCTCGCGGGCACTCGCGGGGCCCGGCGAAACTCTCGCGGGCACTCGCGGCCGAGCGAAACTCTCGCGGGCACTCGCGAGCCCGGGAAACTCTCGCGGGCACTCGCGGGCCGGAACTCTCGGGGGACTCGGCCCGGCGAAACTCTCGCGGGCACTCGCGGGGCCCGGCGAAACTCTCGCGGGCACTCGCGGGGCCCGGCGAAACTCTCGCGGGCATTCGCGAAGCCCGGCAAAAAGCGCGCGGCGAAGGCGACGCCGCGGACTGCCGCGGACCGCCGCCACCAGGCGACTGACCCGACCCCTTTTTGCCTCTCCTGTTGCAGATCTTGTTCTTCGTCATGGCCTACGTGTTCCCGCTGCTGACCATCGTGATCCTCTACCTGCTGATGCTGACCCGGCTGTGGCACGGCGTGGCCCCGGGCGGCCGCGTGTCCGCCGACAGCCGCCGCGGCAAGAAGCGCGTCACGCGGATGGTGCTGGTGGTGGTGGCCATCTTCGCCTTCTGCTGGGGGCCCATCCAGGTAGGCTGAGTCGTCCTTTTGTTTTGACTCTCCCATTCTCCCTGTGACGCTTAGTGGGCAAGAAGACCGGTGAAGAAGGCCCGGACGCGTTTTGAGCTCCGGAGTCGCTCAATGGGATTCGAACCCAACGTGTGGTGACCCCACCAATGGACTGCTCTCCGAACGTGGAATCTATTGGTGGGGTCAACATTTTCGGTTCGAGTCCTGTTTAGCGACTCGGCGGCTCAAAACGCGTTTGGCTGCCTGCTCCGGTCCTCTGGCCCACTGTGCGGGGCGAACCTCTGCGTTGTCGGTGCACCTTCTAATCGCAACCCCCTGCTGCAGGTGGTGCTGGTGGCTAAAAGCCTCGACCTCTACGAGATCAACGAGCTGACGCTGGTGGTGCAGATCGTGAGCCAGGTGCTGGCGTACATGAACTCGTGCGTCAACCCCATCCTGTACGCCTTCCTCTCGGACAACTTCCGCAAGGCCTTCTTCAAGGTGGTGTCTTGCGGACACCCGCAGGCCACCCTGGAGACGCGCAACGGCCGCCTCATGGCCGAGAAGTCCACCCGCACCACGGCCACCTCCCGGGTCAACGGCTCTAACCTGGACATTTTGTGAGGGTCGGCTCCCGGGGCCGGCGGCGCCCCGCACGTCCCGCACGCCAGCGGCAACGGCGCGGGCCACAACAAGGAGCCCCTGTGCGAGGACTTCGTTTGAAGCCCTCGCCCCCGCCACAGAGGCCGCCACGGAGGCCGCCACGGAGGCCGCCACGGAGGCCACCAGAGAGGCAGGCCTCCATAGAGGCTACCATAGAGGCCACCACGACGACCGCCACGGAGGCCACCACGGAGACCACCACCACGGAGGCCGCCAGGGAGGCCGCCGCCGAGACCGCCGCCGGGCGTGCAGCGTGCAGCGCCCGGTGCACCCCCAGAAGAGGCCCACCCAGCCCCGCCGCCCCGCCGCTACCCCCCGGCCGGCGCGCAGACCCTCGGCCCCAGGGACTTTGCAGCGCCCGTCCGCGCTGGGGGCGCGCGGGGTAGCGCCGACGCCCAGGGCTACTCCAGGCCGGCCGCCGCCGCGGGGAAGTCCCTTGTGCTTCGAAAGGCCTCGCCTCGCGCGGACGTCTGTGTGTTATGGACAAGTGTGTCGTTCTTTGCACCTCGTATCGGCCCCAAGAAGGCGAGTCGATACAAGAGACAAACAAAACGGCTTCAGCCGCTTCCCGATTACCGTAACAATAAATAAAGTGTAATTTTAATAACAATTTCGTGCTGTTCGTTGTTGTAGCGCTTTTCGGCCGATAGGGATTCTCGCCCCTTTACTTATTTTTGTACCATAAATGAAGGCCTGTGTGAGTGTCAGTGGTGTGTGTGTGTGAGGCAGTGTGTGAGTGAGCGTGCGAAGTCAGATGAATGCGAGTGAATGGTTAGTGTGATTCGCGAGTGAAACGATGTAATTCTATTTTTGTATGTGAGGCCGGCCGCCTCGCGTCGGTGAGCCTGGCGGCCCCAGGTGCAGCCGAGGCCTCCAGTCCGGCCGGCCTGGACGATGTGTCTGTCAGTCAGCCTGTCTTTCCAATCTGTCTGTCCGCCTGGAAACGTAGATCGTAAGCACACTTGTAAATGCTACTCTGTACTTGTCGTGGCGAGCGCGCTGCGCGGCCCTGGGGCCCCAGGGCCCCCGGGGGGCGCCGCTCCGGGTGTCGACCGGCTCGAGCCACCTGTCAGACGCCCCGGGCCGCACCAAACCCCCCGGAGCCCCGGCCAGCCAAGCCAAGGGCCAAGGGCCCGCAAGGGCCTCACGCCCCGGCCCGGCAGCGCCGCCCGCCCCGGCGCGTTAGGCACTGTTTTCAATAAATCAGATTAACGACCTACACCCGTGTTCACTTGTTCGTTCCTTTCGAATCCCTGCTTCCGACGGCTGGAGCTCAAAGTCACCTGACCAGAGTTAGGCGGGATCTGGCTGCAGTTAGAGAGAGAGAGAGTGACTCGGGGGCGCGCGCTCCATCGGTCCAAACACCCGCGGCGTACTCCCTGTGCCAATCAACATACGGCTGCAGGACAGTCTTTCGCAAAACAAAAATCCTAAGGCTGCGCGAATTCGTTTTATTTATGTCATCCATTAACTAATTTCCAAAAATGTAGTGAAATAATCAACACGACGACCACGTCATCTGCAGTGTGGACGAGTCCTCTCGCAGTGGGTCAAGCTGCCACCTTTCCCCAACGCAGCACGGGCAGGTGAAAGTTGGGCCTGCGAGGGTTGGCCGCACGACGTCGTGGGGTGTCGCCGCGGCGGCGCGGCGGCGCGGCGCTCCCTGCTCGGCGGGGGTATGTCCGCGCGCCGCGCCGCGGCGGGGGGTAGAGCCGACCGCGCCGACGCACCCGTCCCGGCGCCGCGTTGACAGAAACGGCGGTGGGAAAAGTAAAACCGGAAGGGGGCAAGGGACTGGGGTATTTTTAGCATTTTGGCGACTTGCAACTAGCCGTGCCGCGCCGTGCCTTGCGGCCTGTCCCGGCGTCCTGGCCAGGCTGTCGCGTGTCTTCGCGACCTGTCCCAGCAAGCACCCCACCAGACTGATTCCGAGAGTCGTTTTCATCGCTCTGTCTCTCTGGCACTCGTGGGGCGTGCCCTGTGGGTGCGAGAGAGACAGAGCGACGAGAACGGACTCTCGGAATCAGTCTGCAGCAAGGTCCCTGCCGCGCGGCGCCCTCGATGACCTGTCGAGCGGCGGCCCCGAGAACGCCGAGCATTGGGCCCGTTCGAAGGAACGAGAATTGGATGAATACTAATCCCATGATTATGACCGTGACCCTTATCCGGGGTCCAAAACACCGCCCTGGGGTTGCGAAAGCGGACAATGACGAGAATGGCGACAAAAACAAAAATTATTATTTCACGAGCAGGCTTGTGTTTTCAAGCGGATAAATGCGCGCTACAAGTAAGAGTCGTCAAGATTCTGTTGTTCTTCCCTCCGTCCCTCACTCAACTTGGACTAGAACGGCCCGCTAAGGGTTGACTAGACGCGCGGGGCGGTGGCCTCGGTGCGCCGTGCCCTGGTCCGCGGTGGCGGTGGCGGGGTGTGGCGGGGTGTGCCTCCCGGTGCCGCGTTGCTGCTCCTCCTGTGCCCCAGGCCCGCCCCAGGCCCGGCGGCTGCCGCGGTCCTGGGCGTCCTGGGGCCGGCGGCCGCCTCTTCCCTGCCGTCTTCAGTCTGAGGCCGACTCCCCTGGCCCGCGTGCCCCGCGAGCCGCAGCGTGCCCGCCGTCCGTCCCGGTCCATCCCGCCGCCGCGAGCCGCGAGCCGCGTCGCGTGCCGCCGTCGAAAAAGCAGTGCAGGTGCAAGTGGCTCTCGAGCACCCCGAGGCGCGTCCAGTGTTATGGTGCAGAGGACCGATCAACAGGTCGCATCTGTTGACGGGTGAGTCCAGCGCGGCGTCCTGGAAGTGCGGTGCGAATCCCGACGGGGTGGAACGCTGTCAGTGCACTGGCCGGCCGGCAGCCGGATTCCCAGATAGTCGTTTACGCCGCTCACGGGGGCGTCCGGGGGAGGTGCGAGAGAGACAGAGCGACGGAAACAACCCTCGGAAAGAGTCTGCTGGACGGCGCCGGCCGTGTCGCCGCGTCGCCGGGCACCTGGTCGCATTGTGCTGCTGTCCTCGCGCCGGCCGGCACGCTGGTTCCGAGTACTGCTCTCATCGCTCTGCCTCCCTCGCACCCACGGGGCGGCCCGTAAGGGAGCGAGGGAGACGGCGCGGAAAGCGGTGCTCGGGACCAGCCCGCAGCTAGATGAGGCGTGTCTTGGCGGAGCGGCGGATCGCTCATGCTGTCGCACGCAGTCGCACGCATCGCACGGGAGCAGCCTTATCTAATTGAACGTCTCTGGCACCGTTCCGATGTCATCGGCCTGCGCGCCGATTCCTAGCCGTGCCTTCGTGGCTCTGTCTCCCTCGCACTCACGGAGCGTGCCGGAGGGGTGCGAGAGAGACAGAGCGACGAGACGCTTCGCGGCGGAATCGCTTGTAGGCGTCGGCTGCATTCCGCGTGCCGGCGCGGCGCCGCACAGTGGGCCAGAGGACCGGTGGAGGCGGTCCAAATCGCGGACGCGTTTTGAGCTCCAGAGACGCTGAATGGGACGCGAACCGAACGTGTGACCCCACCAATGGATTGCTCTTCGAACGAGGAATCCATTGGTGGGGTCACACGTTCGATTCGAGTCCTGTTTAGCGAGACTCTGGAGCTCAAAGCGCGTCGACCGCCTCCATCGGCCTTCTGGCCCACTGTGTGTAGTGTGCGGCGCGCGGCCCATTCAGCAGACGGGGCAGGCCGGGCAGGCTGCAGCGGCGCGTGGGCGTCGACGTGACGGATGACACGTCCCCGACGACGACCCGGCGCCGCGGGCTGGCGTGCTGGCGGACCTCCGCACCACCGCACCGCCGCGCGGCCAACATTTGGACGTTTTACACCCTGGTTTATGCACGGCCGACGGGGTGGGCGTGCCGGGGCGGCCGTGCCGTCACTGCCCGCCCCGCCCACCGCACACATTCACACGCTCGCTTTGTCCGAAAAAAGTTTGTCTCCTCGTCGAAAGTCAACAACAATGACACACATTTTCCAACTCATCTGTTTGCAAGCTGTGTGAGGTGGGATGGACTCAAGGATGGACCACGTGCATCACCATCGCACTCCTCCTCACTTTTCAAATTTTCTGAAATTTTTAATGCTGCGTTGTTATGGTGCTTGATCCAGCCGGTTGCAAAGGCTGCCGGGGATGGCGGCGGGGCGGTTAGCGCCTCTTTTACCGAACGGCTCACTGTCTCTCTCGCACCCATGCGCAACGCCCCCACGAGCGCGTGAGAGGGAGAGAGACAGAGTCCGGGCTGTCGGCGGAACGGCCGTAAATCCGTCATCGTCCGGCCGGCGCTCGGAAAGGCGCTGGGAAAGGCGCTTGGAAAGGCCGCGGCGGTGGAGAGGAGTTCGCACGCAGCCCGCCGGGCTGCATTTGCCGCCATGTGTGTGTGTGTGTGCGCGTGCGAGGGAAAAGGGGGGGGGGGCAATCTGGCGGTATCGCTGCGATTGACGCGTTATTTACACGTTACGCAAGGCGAGGGCCACCCGGCGCGAGGAAGGCGGTGGCGCTCCCTTCCGCAGCACTAGGAGCCACGCACGCCGGGGCGGGGCGGGGCGGGCGACGGATTTAGCCCCGGACGCGAGACGGCGCGGGGCGCGGCGGCGGGGGTACCGCAGCGAGAGGAACCCCGTCGCGGTCAGGCGTCATGCGTGTGCAGCACACCTACACACACACCTACACACACACACCTACACGCGGAACGCGCGCACTTCACCGCCATGACGTGCGGCTGCTGCGTCGGCGTCACTTCGCCGCGTGTGCGTGTGTGCCGCGCGCAGGACACGTGGAAGGACCCCCGTGAGACCGTCGGGAGTAGAGTAAGGCAGGTCCCCAGCTCCGCGCCTCGGAGCGGCAGGTTCTCGTGGAGGGCGGCAGGTCTAGGCCCGCTAGCCGCCGCGGGACTGTTGCCATCCGTGCTGCGCTGCATGTCTCGCGCAGCCAATCAGCCGCCCTGCCCCTGGACGCGAAATATCGTTCGGCGCACCAGATTAACTCGGTGTGTCAGCGGTGAGCCGCGCGGCGGCGGCGTGGCGGCTCAAGCAGCGGGGGCAACCGGCCAGTGCTTCGCCGCTCTGTCTCTCTCGCACCCCTCCGGGACGCCCCATGAGTGCGAGGGAGACAGAGCGACGACAGCCGCAGCCAGTGGCGTCGGTGCCGCACCTGCTAATAGCTGTTATAGCTACAAGCCTCCGTATATATATTGACTGCCAAGAGACGTCACCACACGGCGCGCCGCGACGGCGGGCCCGGCGGACGGGTGGGCACCCTAGAACGAGAACAACGGGGAACTCAATTATTTTAGCCGGACATGCCTGCTCCCCCCACCCCCGGGCGAGTCATTGCCCCGGCACGCCTTTCGTCCGATGAGCTTTCCGCGCCGTTTTGCCTCATTGGCACTGCACGGTTTACACGAAGCCAGTGGTATAGACAGCGCCCCCCTCCCCTTCCCCCTTCCCCCTCACCCGGCCCGCTGGCGGACTAAGTTTAGCGCGACTCATGAATCCGTCGAACAATATTACGTGTCCCGTGCGTGGGGCGTCGGGGTCGCGCTCATCCGCCAGGATAGGGAACAAGTGCTTGCGCGAGAGAGACAGAGCACCGCTTCCCCGATCAGCTGACGGGGAGCCAGTTGTGGTGTTTGCGGTGATCGGACGGAAATAGGGGTGCGAAATTGCGGGGACAAGCTTCGGCCGGGTATTTTGGGCCGGCCGGCGCGTCACTGAGAGAGAGAGAGAGAGCGAGAGAGAGAGAGAGAGAGAGAGAGAGAGAGAGAGAGAGAGAGAGAGAGAGAGAGAGAGAGAGAGAGTAGTGTCGTCCGAATGTGGTCTTCCGGCACTACGCGGTCCCCTCAGTGACCGCTGGCCCGCCGGCCGCTGGCTTGTGGGGCGGCAACAGGCGTGCGTTTTGATGGTCCTTGGGCCGGTCGCGAGGCGCGGGGCCGCCCCCGCCGCCCCCGTGCTCGTCTTCCCGGTGCTGGCTGCCTCTTTTCATCCTAATGGCTCAGCTAACAGCCAGCAGCCCGCTACAGCGCGGCCACTCCGCTACCCGCCCGCCCGATCTCGGCACGGCGCGCCGCGGCGCCTCAAAGACGACCACTCTTCCCGCGGGGCGACAACAGACGAGCGCCGCGCATCTTCGGGGAACCGTCTATGAATATGCGGCCGGAATGGACCGGGTAAAGGAAAAGTGGGCGATCCCGCCGCAAAACTCCCTCGCTCCGTCTCTCTCGCACTTGGGGAGGGTACCGTAGAGTTGCGGCCGGCTCCACCGGTCTTCTGGCCCACTGTGGTCCGGTCCGGCCGCAGCTGTTGGAGGGCGGTGCCAGTGCGGTGCCAGGGCGCTGCCAGCGGGGGGCGTTTACCCACTCCCCGGCTGCCCCCGCCGCCCGCCGCCCCCCGCGCGGGAAGTAGCGTGAGATCGCCACCGCGGCTGATAGACCACGATACTGGCTGCAAGACGGGGCCAGACGGGCCCACTCGCTCGGCCAACACAGTGTAACGGGGCCCCGGCGAGAGGGGGCTGCGAGGGGTGCGAGAGAGAAAGAGCGGAGAAACGACTCTTCGAAATCGGCCTGCTGCTGGCCGCGGCGTTGGGGCCGTTGGGGCTTCTCTCGCGTTACGCCTGCGAGAAGACAGACATGACACACACACTAACTTTTGTGCGCTCACACACACACACACACACACACACACTTACTTCGTACTCGGACACGAACAGCCAGGGACTAGCACAGCACAATGGCAATGCGTCAAACAGCAATAATACTGGCTCTGCACTGCGCTAAAAGAAACTTCATAGAATGCAGCCCCGTTGTGAGAGGATTATTCCCGGGTCTGGATGGGACGCAGGCCGCCCAAAAGCCAGTCCTAACAACGGGTCCCGCTAATTTCACCTACTGGCCACGTCTCCGGCGTGTCTTTCCCGTACATCTCCGTTCCTGACGGTGTTTTCTTTCTGCCTTCCAGGAGGGCGATGCCAGTGGCCGGCCGCTAGCCAGCCATGTCGTCTTCGCCCGGAGGGGGCCCCGGTGGGGGTCGGCCCACCACTCCCGGCGGGCACCCCATGTACCCCGCGGGGGCCCCGCCGCACGGCCAGCCCGGCCCCTCGCCGTGGGGGCGTCCCCAGGCGCCGTCGCCGTTCCGGCCCTGCTCGCCGTACGGGCCGTCGCCGCCGCCCATGAGCGCGGCCCGGCTGCGCGGGGGTCAAGGGGGCACGCCGCCGCCCTGCCGGTCGCCGCTGCTGCGGTTCCAGGGCCCGCCGCCCTACATCCCGTGCCCGCGGCCGCGCTGGCCGTCCCCGCTGCCGCCCGGGACGCCCATGCCGCCGGGGCCGCTGCCGCCCGGGCCACGGCCCTTCCGCATGCCGCAGGTAGCACCGCACTGCCACTACGCGGCCCAGACGGGAGTCGCTTAACGGACTCGAACCGAACGTGTGACCCCACAAATGGATTCCTCTTTCGGAGAGCAATCTATTGGTGGGGTCACACGTTCGTTTCGAGTCCAGTTTAGCGACTCTGGAGCTCAAACCGCGTCTGGAATTATTTGGCCGCCTCCACCGGTCTTCTAGCCCACACTGTGCGCTGCTCTGACACAAGCCTTCCTCCGCAGAGCCCTTCGCCCATCATGTGCCCGTCGCCGGAGTACATGTTCTCCCCGTACCCGGAGCAGGAGTACGTCGGCGTCCCCCTGGAGCCGCCGGGGCCGGCGCGGCCGCGGAGCGCGCAGGCCAGCCCGGGGCCGTTCGGGCCGTACTTCGTGGCGCCCCCGCTGCAGGCCCCCATGGCCATGGCGCCCGGCGGCGGCGTGGCCGGCCCGACCCACCCGCACCACTCGTACATCCTGGAGCCGCCGCTCGACGGCGAGCAGGGCCCGTCCACGGCGGACATCATCGCGGCGCAGGGCCAGGACTACGTGGACGAGAAGCTGGCCGAGTACCAGGCCACCATCCAGCTGCTGCAAGGTGAGCGCACCGCCTGTCACGAGGAGCGGGACCGGCCGCGAGGAGAGAGCATACAAGAGTGCGTGTGGTGTGACGCGTGTCGGTGGTTCAAATCCCGGCAGCGCGTCGTGTTTTTGTTTGCTCGGTCGTCGTCGGCGTCGGCGACACCGCGCGCGGATTGACGCCCTGGCACTCGTTGGCCTGCCCGAGGAGGCCAAGACGAGCGCGGCCCGCGCCAGGCGCCGCCGGAACCGCGCGGGTCGCTACCGTGAAATATGACGTAATTATTCGGCGCTGTTTTTTTCGAAGCTAAGCGCCGCCCTGAAATAGCACCGCGGACCGCCGCCGCGGCCTTGCGATCAAAATTGTCAAAACTTACAAGTGGTCGGCGCGTCACGGCGCGTGTTCCGCGTGATGTACCGGCCAATGCGTGTGCGGGCCGCGGAGTGCCGGTCCTGGTTCGGGCGGCCCCACCCCCGCCCCGCCCCGCCCCGCCCCCGGGCGCGGTGGGCGCGCTGCCACCACGCCGCCGTCAGGGCGCCGCGCCACGACTCGTGGGGCAGCAAATGACCCGAAAGTAGCAATTTGAAGAGGGACTCCGTGGCACTATCAACGGCTCACGCGAAGCGTCCACCCAAGCACCGCGACGAAGAAGTCCGAACCAGTTGGCGGCGATCTGCGGCTCCTTCGAGAAGGACACCGCCGCGATGGACGGGCCGTGCGACCCGCAGTGGAGGCAGCCCTCCATCGCGCAGTCTCCGCCGCCGGCCGGCCCGGCCCTGCCAAGAGACCCACCGTTCATTACGACGGCGGCGTCCCTCGGCGCGTGGCCGCGGACACACCGAGACTCCCTTCATCGGGGACCCCTGGCGGCGGGCGGCGGGCCGCGGGCCGCGGGTAGCGTACGCGGCGGGTTATTTCCGTCGTCCACGCGTTGTCTGTCGCTCCTCTTCCCTTTCTTACCTCGCCCCCCCCCCTCCCCTCCCCCCCCCTTTTCCCCGGTCGGCCGACGGCGGCAGCGACTCGCCCAGGGCGGGATGCGGACGTCGTGCAAATGGACTGGCGTGCATGCGAGAAGCGAGTCGAGGCGTCATTGGAAAATAAATATTCGCGGGTGACGTCACACCGCGGCAGCGCAGACATAACCCGGTGCACCGTAAGCCAATAACGCGAAGCGGCGAAGCGCAGGTGGGCGGCTCACCAACGAGCCCCATCCCGACCCCCACCCGACCCCCACCCAAACCCCACCCAACCCCCACAACGCACAAAGGCCCGGTGTAAATCAGTAGTCGGTTCGTTATGGATAGCACGGCGGCCTGAGCCCCGGCAGACTGATTACGAGAGTCGTTTTCGTCGCTCTGTCTCTCTCGCACCCACAGGGGACGCCCCGCGAGTGCCAGAGAGACAGAGCTCCGAAAACGCCTCTCGGAATCAGTCTGCGGGCCGCGGGCGGGTGCGACGGGCAGGTGCAACGTGCAGCCTAGTGCAGCCGGCCCCGTAATTTCCTGGCGAACTTCGCGCTGCTTCGCGCTTCGCGCCGCTTGCCGACTCCGAACGGCGTCGCTCCGTCTCTCTCGCACCCACGGGGAGGGACGGGGCGACGGCCCGCTGCCGAGGTAATGCGGCCTCGCGGAGTGGCGGCACCCCGACCGCGACATGCACGCTGCATGCGCTGCCCGCCTGGAGCGCCGTGTGGGTAGGCAACCCCGGGACGGTAGGCCACCCATTCGCCGAGCCCGCGCGTGTAGCACGCTGTTGTTGCTGTGGTTTTCAATGAAGGCACTGCAGGCCCTGTAGCCGGCCGCTTCCAAACCAAGCGAGTCTGCTTCCGACATCTCTCTCTGGTACCCCTTGCGGTTCACCCCACGAGTGCGAGAGAGACAGCGCGCTGGCTAATAACGTTTGCAACAAGGTTGCAGCGCCGTTTGGGCGTGCACGGCCTCTTCCAGGCCAACAACACTGCATCCGGCCTGGCCTCTGGGCGCCGTTCGGCCGCGGAGGCTTTCGGCCTGGCGGCGGCCGCGGCGGCGGCGTGGTGAGCGGCGAATGTAAGCAAAGACAAACTTAACGAACAGGAGCGGAGCAGCAGACCGATTCCGAGAGTCGTTCTCGTCGCTGTGTCTCTCTCGCACCTAAACGGGACGCCTCATGAGTGGGAGAGAGACACAGCGACGAGAACGACTCTCGGAATGAGTCTGCAGGGCGCGCGGTCCGAGCGCGGCGTCTGCGAGGGCAGCGACCAGGGTGCCGCTACACTGTCCGCAGTGCCAGCGGACTGAATTATACGATCTATTGCGGATGCCGAGGATGGAGAGTCTGCCTCGCGGTGGGAAACACACTACTTGCACAACGCACCCGCAGCTTGAATCCGAACAGCAGCGCTTTCGTCGCTCGGACTGCCGCCCCAAGGACGCGCGCTGTCGCGGGCGACGAGGCGGGCCTCTTTGCAAACGTGCTTCTCAGCAAACACTCTGCACCGCACCATGCATCAGCAGGGCCGTCCGCCCCGCACTCCTCGCTCTGTCTCTCTCGCACTCGTGGAGTGGGCCGGAGGGTGCGAGAGAGACAGCGCGCGGAGTGCGGGCAGCGGAATGGCGCTCGACAGCGTGCCAGTGGTTGGACGAGAACGTCAGAGCGCCGCAGAGGACACGGCGACCGAGGCGACGGTGTCCGAGAAGGCGGCAGTGTCCGCGGAGACGGCGTAGATGGTGTCCACGACGACGGGGTCGCGCGCCGCTCCGATGCACCGCGTCGCCTCCCCTCGTGGAGCCCTCCGATCAGCTGTGCGACCCCCTCCCCCCCTCCTTTCCCTGTTCCTCTCTCCCTTCCCGCCGCCGCCGGGTCCATGCCACCGCACTGGGCGGCACTGGGTTACCGGGCCTCTCCCCCCCCCCCTTTCCCCAGGGCTCCACCGCGGCGGGGAGGGGAGTGGCGATGCGGGTCGCCCGCGTCCTCATCCTCATTGCGCAACCTGTCCCGTCCTGCCGCGCGATTCAGAAGAACGGTTTGTCGCTCTGTCTCTCTCGCACCTAAACGGGACGGGCCACGATTGCGAGAGAGACAGAGCGACGAAAGCGAGTCTCGGAATCAGTCTGCAGCAATAAGGTGTCGGGCCTCAACCCGCAACTTAGACTTGTACTGGCCCCCAAAAGGCCCCGGCGGATAAGACCGCAAAAGGCCCCCGATCATCATTATGTTTTTACCCTTAATGACCAACTTTGTGAGGCTACCGCTCCCAAACCAGTTGTGGTCAACGCCTTCCCGATACAGGGCATGAAAGAGTAGGGTCTTAAGAATACTAGGGCGTCGAGGGAGGCCTTTTACGTCAACTAGATTGGACACAGTGGCCACCCAAAATCAGCAAAATCAGCAAATTTTCGAGATTCGACTACTTTTTGACCAACTTTGGTCCCAAAATCGTTGCGGTCAAAGCCAAAATCGTTGTGGTCAACGCCTTCCCGATGCAGGGCATGAAAGAGTAGGGTCTTAAGAATACTAGGGCGTCGAGGGAGGCCTTTTACGTCAACTAGATTGGACACAGTGGCCGCCCAAAGTCAGCAAAATCCGCAGATTTCCGAGATTCGACTCAACTTTAGTCCCAAAATCGTTGCGGTCAAAGCCAAAATCGTTGTGGTCAACGCCTTCCCGATGCAGGGCATGAAAGAGTAGGGTCTTAAGAATACTAGGGCGTCGAGGGAGGCCTTTTACGTCAACTAGATTGGACACAGTGGCCGCCCAAAGTCAGCAAAATCGCAATTTCGAGATTCGACTCGAGCCACTTTGGTCCCAAAATCGTTGCGGTCAAAGCCAAAATCGTTGTGGTCAACGCCTTCCCGATCAGGGCATGAAAGAGTAGGGTCTTAAGAATACTAGGGCGTCGAGGGAGGCCTTTTACGTCAACTAGATTGGACACAGTGGCCGCCCAAAGTCAGCAAAATCAGCAAATTTTCGAGATTCGACTCAACTTTGGTCCCAAAATCGTTGCGGTCAAAGCCAAAATCGTTGTGGTCAACGCCTTCCCGATGCAGGGCATGAAAGAGTAGGGTCTTAAGAATACTAGGGCGTCGAGGGAGGCCTTTTACGTCAACTAGATTGGACACAGTGGCCGCCCAAAGTCAGCAAAATCAGCAAATTTTCGAGATTCGACTACTTTTTGAGCAACTTTGGTCCCAAAATCGTTGCGGTCAAAGCCAAAACGTTGTGGTCAACGCCTTCCGATGCAGGGCATGAAAGAGTAGGGTCTTAAGAATACTAGGGCGTCGAGGGAGGCTTTCGTCAACTAGATGGACACAGTGGCCGCCAAAGTCAGCAAAATCAGCAAATTCGAGATTCGCTCCACTTTAGAGCCAATCGTTCCGACGTGCCTCAAAGCCAAAATCGTTGTGGTCAACGCCTTCCCGATGCAGGGCATGAAAGAGTAGGGTCTTAAGAATACTAGGGCGTCGAGGTAGGCCGGCACTGCCACTCGGAATCAGCCTGGCTGCTGGTCCATTCATGCACCGGCTGCACGGCCACCCCGCCCCTTTACTCTTACTCCAGCGAGAGGCGCTGCGGGTTGCATGGCAACGCGGCAACGCACGCCAAAAAGCGAGCGGCACTCCGGGCGCGGGCTCCGCCGCGCATGCGCGACGGGTGGGCGCGGTTCGCCAGGGTCCGGCTCCGTGTTGACGGTGGGCTGGTGGGCCTCGCGGGGCGGCAGGCAGCGGCAGGGCGGTGGGGGCCGCGCGGGGTGGAGAGGCAGTATCGAACGAGGCCCCGGCGCGGCTCCTGCGGCGAGAGGGAGAGAGAGGGCCGGGCGGTGGGGCGCGAGCACCCACAACACCGCGGAGGGACAAGCAGCGCTCTAACCTCACAACGAAATATGCGTTCCAGTTAACGAGCCGGCCTCGCACGCGCGCGTCCTCGCCCTGCCGGCAGGAGCGGACCGCCACCGCCGCGACCGGCCAGCAGACGACGCGGCGGACTCGCCCAGGACTCGCCCAGGACTCGCCGCCAAGCGGTTTTGCAGTGTACTCACCCGTAGTGCCGCGATAGACGAACGAAGTGCGTGTGTGCGCGTGCCAGCGAGACAACAGTGACACTGACAGTCGCTTTGAAGGTGTAGTGCTTCCAATTAGTGCTTCGTGGCAAGTGGCGATGAGTGTCGCCAAGCGCGGTGCGTGTGTGCGTGTGTGTGCGTTTGAGGTTATGTAACGGCCGCTCAGCTGATTGGTGTACCAGCCCGCCGCCGGGTACTCTGTGAAAAACCGCGCGTGGGAAACGCGACCCCCCGGCCGGGATCGAGACGATCGAGTCAGGCAGCCGCTGAAAGGCGAGCCGACGGAGTGCAACGGAGTGTCGATCCCGAGTGACGAAACGAAAGGACTGACGGACCGTCATCGCCTCGAACCGAAGGAACCGAAGGAACCGAACGCAGACAATCGACCGAAGACAGGCAAAAGGCGTCCGATCAGGAAGCACGCAGCCCGGCCTTCCTCTATCCCTTCCAGATTTTGTACCCGAAATATTTTCCACTTCTATTTTTGTATGAGTATTTTTTCTAGAGTTAGTTTATTTCCTGTTGATTGTTGTTTGTGCCTTTATCTATAGGTAAGGTTTAGAGTTTTAACTGTTTTGTATCGATATATATTTTAAAGAGTATAGTTTTGAAACTAGTGTGACACATTCCGTGCGACCCATTCCAGTTAAGTGTCCGACCATTCCTGGCGGTCTGCCTCCATCGAGGCCTCCATTCCCTAGAGCATTCCGCGCGCGCGCTTCGGATTTTCGGAGCGCCATCATCCCTTTTAAGTTTGCAAAGGCCGGGCCCTCGTGCCGCGTCGCGTTTCGGGTCGCGTCCGTGTGTCGCCTCGCGTCGTCGCGTCGTCGGGGCCAATGGTAGTGCGTCGCGGCCGCCCCCAGCACAACCACCAGCCGGAGCCATGGCGGACCAGCAGCCGCGGCCGCCAGACCGCACGTCGAGGACGTCCCCGTCAAGGACGTCGGCGTCGAGGACGTCCACGCCCAGTCCGCGGCGCCTGCAGCAGCGCGTCGACTTCTACGAGGGCGGCGCGGTAGCGGGCGGCGATGCGGGGGCCGCCTCGCTGCTGGACGTCGCCGAGGTGGAGCGCCGCCTGGAGGCAGAGCGGCGGCGGCGCCTGCAGGCGTCCAGTCCCGGACTCCTGCAGGAGGGTGTCCGCCTGCGGCCGACGCCCACCTCGTCGCCCCGGGGGTCCTCGCCTCTACCAGCCCGCGGCCCCTCGCCTCTGCCGCCTCCGAGGACGGCGCCGCGGCGCACGGGCGTCGCGCCCAGCCTGGTGCTGTCCTCGCCGGACGAACCCGCGTCGCTGGAGGAGACCTTCGAGCACGTGGACGAGGAGGGCGACCTGGCGTCCGGCGCGCGCATCGTGACGGTGGAGCGCGTCAGCCTGCGCAAGAGCGTCCGGGAGGTGACGCTGAGCCGCACCCCGTCCGACGACCCCCTGGTGGACGACTCCGCCTACCAGTCCAGGACCACCTTCGGGGCCAGGCACGCCGCCGAGCCCTCCGGCCTGCTGTCGCCCACCTCCGTCACCACCTCCATCACCACCACCACGAGAAGCCTGTCCTCGTCGCAGACCTCGCTGAGCGGCGCGTTCCCGTCCGAAGAGAACCTGGCCTCGCTGGCCAGGACGCCGTCGAGGGAGCGGCTCGGCGAGTCCGAGTGGTACACCGAGCTGCACCACACCGAGGCGTCGCGGCGCCACGAGCTGGTGCGCCGCGCGTCGCAGTACGACCGGCACATCCAGCACATCCGAGGTACGCGTCGACGGCGAGCCGACGGCCCGATTTGGCGTGCTACCTTGCCGGGGTCCAAGCGGAGCTTTCGTTGCCGTCTCTCTCGCACCCACAGGGCGTCTGGCAGGGGTGCGAGACAGGCAGAGACTGCAGGTCGTCTCCTTTAGGGGCCTGGTGGTTCCGCTCTGCAAGTCGCGCCACGTGTGCGGCGTGTGCGGTTGCCACTTGTGCGGTCGACTCGTTGACGAGTCGCGATGCGCGATGCGGTGGTCCCAAACTAACTCCGTGACACACTTGGCCAGCCGGGCGGAAACCCTAGACCGTGTCCGCCAGCCCTACACACCTGTTGTCCGCGCTGCACGGCGGCGCCGCGGCGCCACGGCACTGCATCTCGTGCGGCACGGCACGGCCTGACACTTGCCCGGTTTCGCCTGTCGATACTGCTTCCATCGCGTCGCAGAGGCCACGGTGCACCACGGTGTCGTCCTCGCGCCGGGCGGGGCACACTGGGCCAGAAGGCCAAACAAAAAAAAAATTTGAACTCTACACCCCCTCCCCAGTCTTAATGGGGAGGCCTCCTGCTTTACTTCGGTGTTCGGGATGGGAACCGGTGCTATCAGGTACCTGGGGTTAATCCCGTCAGCGACTCTAAGCGTTCGCCGGGGGACCCAGTAGGACCCCAAAGCTCAGGCAGCTGGGTGAGAGCACCCAGTACGAAGCTCTTTGAGGGGCGGGACGTAGAGTGAGACGACAGAGAGACAGAGAGAGACTCAGACAGAGAAGAGGTTTGGTGGGAGCTTCTTGTTTTCGTAGGGTTGGTTGTGTACCCCATGGTACCCCCACTGTCCGGCGCTCCCGTACCGAACATACAGCGTTTTAGGCCAGCTTCAAAGGACTTATCATCGCCTTCCCGACAAGTCAAGGAGGCACCACCCGCAACCACACACCGGGTGGTCTGGATTGATGGATCAAATACGCCATCGCTCCAGTGCCGAGGCCAACCCGCCGAAGCGGATTGCTTTTTAGACACCCACAGCGGAGTGGCCAGGTGAATGTGACTCTGACCACTACGCTATCACGCTTGTACGTCTGGCAGCGTGTTGGACGACGGGTTTGAGTTGCACTGGGAGGAAGGCGTTCGAAAAATGTAATGAAATGATGGGATTCGATCCCCGGACCCCGCCATCGGGATCACACGACTTTACGCTCTCGGCCACCACGGCCCATGATGAGGGGACCGGCGTGAGGTGGGTTCTTGACGCAACAGGACTCGACCGACCCGGTCAAAATTTCGCAAGAAGTTGGGGGAGTCGAACCGCCGACCCTAGCACTGAGAACCGACGCCTCTACTCCCTGGACCACCGCGTCCCATGCTCGGAGTGGGCTCACGTTTACGGGTTTGAACCGCACTGGGTGAGGCAGTAAAATTAAATGGAAATATTTGTTAGGAGTCGAACCTCCGGCATGTGGGCCTGTTGCACACGGCTCCGCTCTCATGGCCTCGAACCAACACCCTTAGGATAGCAAGTCGAAAAAACTTTTGTGACGCTGGTATTCGAACGCCGGCCAGCGGTAACTCGATCCCACGTCTCTAACCTCTCGGCTGAAAACGCGACGGATCATCTGCTTTCATTAACGTTCGTTGAATGAGATTTTTTTTTCCCACTGTGCGGCCGTCCGGGCCCCGACGGCGTGCCGACGGCGTGCCGCTCGCGTGACGTTGGCCAGCTGGCCGGCCAGCCCGAATCACGCACCTGCTGCAACGGCCGCGGCCCGGGCAGGTGGCCGCAGTGCCTGCCGCCCATCTTGACCATCCTGAACGCGCCGTCCTGCCCAGGTCCTGCCGCCCGGGCCGGTCCTCCCCCGCAGGGCCGCCGTGACATCACCGTCTGCTTTGAATACAGTGTCGCGTGCCGCCGCGCTGTCTCTCTCGCACCGCGACGGGCCGCCCCGTGAGTGCGAGAGAGACAGTCTGCTGGCGGTCAAGGCCGGGCCGAAGCCGCGGCTGTGTCGAATCACCGCAAAGTGATACAGACGTCGCTTGTCCCGAGTCGGCCGCCCAGCTTTCGAGGCCTTCCTTCGACTGCCTTCGACCAGCCCGGGCCGCGGCTTCCTTGGCTTGCTTGGCTCGCTTGCCGCTCGGCGCGGTTTGCGTCCCTAAATGAACGTTCTCTCGTGATTATGTAAAGCGGCCGGCGGCTCCGCTCCAGCAGACCGATCTTCGTCGCTCTGTCTCTCTCCCACCTCGACGGGACGCCTCTTGAGTGCGAGAGAGACAGCGCGACGCGACGAGGCTCTATAACCTTAAGCGAGGCCCCCACTCCTCGCGAGGTGCCGCTCGGCGAATGAGTTTTTGCCCACGTGGTCCCCGGTCCGGCGAGCGGTCCGGCAGGGCGTGGCGCGGCGCGCTGGCCCGGCCCGCCACCGGCCGGTCAGTTTTTTGCTGCGATCAAATTTGCATTTTCGCCTTTTAAAGTGAATTTTGTTGACATGTGGCGGAACTCCTTGAAATGAATTCAAAGCACTATCTGGATCGCTGCTCCGAACTCGATAACGAGCATGACGGGTTAGCTTAGCGGTTAGCGTCCATTCGCCCCGCTGCCTAGGACGCGGGTTCGAAACTCACATGGTGGGCTGAGGCGCCATTTGTCTTTTCCCGCATCAAAACTGAATCGGCGTGGGTTCAAAACCAACGTCATGGAAATTTTATTTTTTCATTTTGGTACTACAACGCGCGCCAGAATGATTCTCTAAGTCGGTGCAACCCTGAGTGCATGCTTCCCTTGCAATGGCGTGTCCACTTCGCGCGCGGTCGGCGAAAAGGGAACCTGAACCAAGCTGGGTTGGAGGCGGTCAGGGGCAAGTGCCCCCCCCCCCTCCTCCCCTGCTGTCTGCATGCCCCGAGGTCGATACAACAGCTGACCGGCAGGCCGATTCTGAACAGTGCCCTCGTCGCTCTGTCTCTCTCGCACCCCACGGCGTGCGCCACGAGTGCGAGAGGGACGGGGCGAAGGCACTGCTTGGCGTCGGCCAGCGTGGCGGCCCTTTGGGCGGCCGGCCGGCGGGGAGGGGCGACGTCAGGGTGGCTACTCCCTTCCGCAGCCCCTCGCCTCGGCCGCGGCCTGGACGTCGGCCACCGGGATCCGGCGCCGCGCCGTCAGGAAACGAATAAAGTCTCGGCTGAAGTTTGTGGCGGTGCACAGTCGTTGTCCCGTCCAGGCGGGGCGCCCGAGTCGACACTGACGACTTGTTCGCGAAACCGCGCCCTCGCCGGGCCTCGCCGGGCCACGCAGAGTCCCCGGTGCCGCCCCAAAGGGCACAGGGCGCGCCGCCATCGTCGCTCTGTCTCTGTCGCTCTCGGGGGCGCGCCGGGTGGGTGCGAGAGAGACGGGCGCGCGCCGGCCGCCCGGCCCTCCAGCGCCACGCCACGACGGGGTGCGCGTCCCGGCTAAAAGTAACGCCCCGCGGATGGAAGTGTGTCTGCGCGGGTATTTGCAGCGCCGCGCCTCGTCGCTCTGTCTCTCTCGCACTCATGGAGCGGCCCGTATCGGGGCGAGAGGGACGGAGCGCAGCGCGGAATCAGTCGGCTTGCCGAACGTCGCCGATGACGTCACAGATCGCGGGCGTCTGAACATTTAGCGGCTTGATGGCGTCACGAAGGCTTCGTGCAAGGCGGCAGTAGCGTCGCAGACGGGGGTAGGGGGCTCAGCGTAGCTCAGCGTGGTGGAGATACTACTCGACCGCCACCGCTGCAGACTGATTCCGAGAGTCGTTCTCGTCGCTCTGTCTCTCCCGCACCTGTACGGGGCGCTTCATGAGTGCGGGAGAGACAGAGCGACGAAAACGACTCTCGGAATCAGTCTGCTGCTGCCCCCTGACAACGGCCCGCGCCGCGCCCCGCCGCCGAGGCCGCCGCCCCGTCTGTTTGATCATTCCATCAGTTGGCACCACTGGTGTCGCTGCTCCGGCGGGCTTGTCGGTCTGCCTGGCGCCGTCGTCCGCGTCGGGCTTGGCGGCGTTCGCGGCGTCCGCGGCGTGGAGGACGGCGTCGTCGACGCCAGCGGAGGTGAACGGACTCGTCGAGGTGCACGTCGGTGTCGCGGGAACTCGCTCCGCGCCACGCCAGGACGATCGTGTACTACTTCAGCGGCGCGCGGAGTTCATGACCTGCGCGGCCCACGGCGCGGCCCACGGCGCGGCCAGGGTGTCGCCCGTGGCAGGTGTTTCCGGCGCATAGCAGCAGCAGCCGATATTGGAAGAGGAGTTGCGAAATGCTCCGTGCCTTGCCCCCAGCGGGGCCCCCTGGGCGCAGTCACCCGGCGCGGCCTGAGACACTGCCTGGACGTCGGGGCAGGCCTTGAGCACCTCCACGTCGTCCGCCCACGTGTGTTCACTTTTATTTTCTCAAAATATGGAAGGTAGTGGCGAATCAATTTTACTTCAAGGTGGATCGAGCCCGGGCTTCTCGTGTCGCAATCCTGTCTGCTGGCTTGCGCGGCTGACGCCACCTACGCTTACATACTTTAGAAAATAAAAATACTTGTTGTTTTTGTTTGCATCTGCCTGTAAGCGGATCGGAAAGAGAAAGCCCTTTCCGAACATGTAGGTCAAAGACGGGCAGAAAGTATTCCCATTTAACTTGGCCCGCGCGGTATCGGCCTGTGTGTTGTGTCCTCCGCGAAGGTCCCGCGGCCTCCGAGACGCCCCCGCGCCGCACGCGCGCACCGCCACCGCCATCGACATATCCGCGGCTACCCCTGCCTTGCGCCTTGCACCCGCCGTGCGCGCCCTGCCCCGGGGGACGGTGTGCCGAATCGTCCCCCACGACGTGTGCCCCGGAGGGCCGGGCCCCGCCTGGCCCCCTCCCCGCACGCCGATGACATCGCCCTCCCCGCCTAAACGGCCATGCTTTGTCGTCGCGCAGACAGTTGCTGCTGCTGCGCCGCCGTGCTCGCTAGGCGTCCCCGCCGTGCCCGCGCAGCGCTAGCCGCGCGCGCCGCAGCCCGAGCAGTGCGTCGAGATCTCCCGCGGCCGCAAACCGCCGCACCGGCGGCCCGGGGACGCTCACGGCGTCGTCGACGGCGGCGGCGCCAGCGCGGTTGCGACGGTGGTCGTCGGCGAGGCCGCAGCGATGCGCTGGAAGTACGGTGAGGACCGACGCGGACGCCTTGGCCGGGAGTCGAACCCGAGTCCGGGACGCCGCCGCTCTTTGTTCCGGAGGGCCGCGGGGGCTCTCGGTGCGTGCAAGTGCGTGCCTGGCCCCTTCGGCCCGGGCGGGGCCCGCCGCCCGCCCACCGCCCGCCCCGCCCCGCCCCGCCCCGCCCCGCCCCGCCCCGCCCTCCGCTTTGGGGACCCTGCACACTGCACCCCCGCACGCGACTCGGGGCGTGAGCGATACGCCGCTGCTGTCTCCGCGGCGCTCCGCGGGGCGGGGCGGGGTGGAGGGGGAAGGGCATCATTAAACTTACTTCCCGCACCGCCGCTAAACACGTGCAAGGTTCAAGTCTCCCTTGATTTGGCCGTTCACATTTTTCTCCGTGATTTTTAGCCCCTCCTTTCCTTTTTTTGACTGAGCCCGTTTATTTATCGTGGTTGTCATTGTATGCATGCGCGGCTTCCTCGGTGACGTCTTGGTCGGGGGGAGGGGGGGGGGGAGGCCGCCTCCAGAGGCACGACGACGATGTCGATTAGCGCGTGCGTGACTCTCCAATTCACGGGCACACCGCGCGGCACGGCGGCCCGTCATGACCGGGTGACCTACATATCGGCTTCCATCCCGGCGTGCCCGGCGCACCATCGAGGGGTGGAAGTGCAGCGAGTGCATGCCGGTGCAGCAGAAGACTCATTAGGGAAACTTTGGCGCGCCTCGCGGAGCAGGGTTCATGGATGGATGGATGGATGGATGGATGGATGGATGGGGCGAGCAACGGGGTCAAGCAACTCTCTTGGAGCAGGTCGGACCGCGCGGCCGCCGTAAAACGGCCGCATTTACCCGCGGCCGTAAACGCATTACGACGTCGAGCTCGACGGGGGCCTTCTTGTGGGCGGCGGCGCAGCGCCCCGGCACCGCCCTCGACGCCGCCTTATCTGTGTTGGAGGAAGCGGCAGACCTTCGAGGCGGTCAAAGTCTCGGACGCTCTGGCCCCTCGCCCACTGTCCGTCTGCATTATTCCAAACGCATCCTTCTTTGTTGCAGACGAGCAAGAGCGCGTGCAGAAGAAGACGTTCGTCAACTGGATCAACTCGTACCTATCCAAGGTAAGGCCGTCTCTGGTGGACCACCCTGCAGTAGGGACATAAATCTGCATGGGGCGTCCTGGCGTGCAGCGGCAAGCCCGAGGGCAAGCCCCCTTCCCCCTCCCTCCCCGAATGTCCTCCTCGCGTGCTGTATGGCAGGTATTTACCCAGTCAGTAAGTCAAAGTCTGTCTGGCGGTACAAGGAAGCCATCTTGCAAAAAGAGGAAAAGGGGGAGGGAGGGGTGTAGCAGCACAGCAGGGCAAGGTCCCCCGTGCCTAGGGGGTCGTGCGGGACATCTAGATAGCACGGCGATACAGGGGCGGCGAGGGAAGCACAAGACGCACAGTCCGTGTGTCCTCCCCCCTCGCGCGCGCACACACACACGCTGGATCAGCTGAGGGCGTCGCGGACGGTCGTGGAGGGGGTGGCGACGTCGGGGTGCGCTGCGCGGTGTGCCTCGGACTCGCGTGCGAGCCGGCCGTTGCGTGGGGGGCTACCCACCGGGGGTTGGCTTTACACCGGGGCCCCGCTCGGCGCCCCTCCCCGCCGCGAGGGCCGCGAGGCCTAGGGGGCTGCGGTGGCGCCCCGTGAGGGGAAGGGGGGGGGGGGACGCCGGCTACCTGGATCCAGCACGTGGAGAGACCGGGGTATCGATCATAGCGGGAAGGTGTGGCGGGCTGGTTCACCCGAAAACTCGCATCAATGGGATGGCGAAATGAAATGAATCATCGGAGATGACCAAAAATCGCCACCCATCGCCATCCAAATCGCCGCCAAAATCCACTGTGCGACGTAGCGAGAATGAATGTGACGTGTTTCAGCGAGTTCCACCGCTTCGGGTAGACGACCTGATCGGAGACCTTCGTGATGGCACCAAACTGCTCGCGCTGCTGGAGGTGCTGTCGGGGGAGAAACTGGTGAGTTCGCCCGTTTCTCGAGCGTCACGTAACGACTGGCGGCGAGATGTGTGTCGTTTGAAGCAAAGTAACCCTTGCCGTCTGACCCGCCAGCCCGTCGAGAAGGGGAGGAATCTGCGGAGGCCGCACTTCCTGAGCAACGCCAACACAGCCTTGCAGTTCCTCCAGAGCAAAAAGGTGAGACGCCCCGGCCGGGAGTCGAACCCACGCATCCGCACGAGCCCCTAGTTATTTATGTTTCCTTGTCCGGCAGATCAAGCTCGTCAACATCAACTCCGCCGATTTGGTGGACGGGCGACCGCCCGTCGTGTTGGGACTGATTTGGACCATCATCCTGTACTTCCAGGTGTGTACCGCCCGTGCAACATGGAGCTTTTTCCAGTCTGAGTCTAACTCCTTATTCGTCATCTTAATAACCACCCCCTGCCCAGATAGTCTACCTGTATTTTGTCTTATAATTAACCCATTCATTAACCACCCTTCACTTTGTGCGAACGCCCCTCTGGAGCACTTGCTAAGTTTGTCTCGACCGACTACCGCTTCACTAACCGTCCTTCCTTGCCTCTTCTATTTCCTCCGCAAGCTCCGAAAAAGGAGATTACAGCAGAGGGTGAGTTCTTTTTCACCTGCTAAGCGTGTGTCGTAGAAATTCGGAAAAAGTAGATTGTTTCGCTTCGCTTGATCTCTGGACCTGCGGGTATCGCTTGCTCTGTTCTCGCTACGGGGCACCCCGTATAGGTGCGAGAGAGACAGAGCGACGAAAACGACCGCACCGTAACTCTGCGCCCGTTGCAGATCGAGGAGAACACGCGCGCGCTGGAGTCGCTGGGCCACCGTTTCGGCGGCTCTGGCTCCAGCCTGGACAGCGATGCGGAGGGGCTGCGGCGCCGGCGCACGGAGCTGGGCGGCTCGTCGACGCCGCTGCCGCAGGCGCAGCAGCAGCAGGACAAGTGGCGGCAGGGCGCACGGCGCGCGCTGCTGCACTGGGTCAACGACGCCCTGCCCGCCGAGATGGGCGTCGAGGTGCAGGACTTCGGCAAGTCGTGGCGCGACGGCCACGCCTTCGTCGCGCTGGTGCACGCCATCCGCAACGACCTGCTGGACGTGGAGGGCCTCCGGCAGGCCGCCAACCGCGTGCGCCTCGAGTCGGCCTTCGGCGCCGCGGAGCGCGACCTGGGCATCGCCCGCCTGCTCGACCCGGAGGACGTCGACGTGGACAGGTGAGCGCTCTAAGCGGGCCGGGGAGATTTCAACGCAGCCGGCCCAGTGGCCGGGATTGCCGCTGCCAGTGGAGTGGTCATCGGGCAGAACAACGCACTTTCGACGGGTTTCCTGTGCGACTTACCCCCAACTGCCACCGAGTTTACAACCACGTCTTTCCACCCCACCCGCAGGCCCGACGAGAAGTCCGTGATGACGTACGTGGCGCAGTTCCTGCACCGCTACCCGGAGCCCCGCGGCGCCGAGGAGACGGTGCCCACCATCCAGGGCGAGTTCCAGAAGCTGTCGGCCTGGCTGTCGGAGACCACGGCGCGGCTGCAGCGCCTCATCGACACCAGCAGCCTGCCCACGGACTACTCGGTGAGTCCGTCGCCCTCGCACAGTGGGCCAGAAGACCGGTGGAGGTGGCCAAAGTTCGAGACGCGTTTTGAGCTCCAGAGTTTGTTAAACAGGAATCGAACCAAGCGTGTGACCCCACCAATGGATTGCTCGTTCGGAAAGCAGTCCATTGGTGGGGTCACACGTTCGGTTCGAGTCCCGTTAAGCCACTCTGCAGCTCAAAATGCGTCCGGGATTCTGACCGTCTCCACCGGTTGGGCCCACTGTGCATCGTCCAGCGGTGAGCGGAATGTTTGAACCGGTGGCTTCGTTGCTTCCAGGAGTACCTCGCCTTCCGCGAGGAGCTGCTGATCCACGCCGCGTCGTATGAGAAGCTGAGCAAGATGATGGCGTCGCAGAGCACCGCCCCCGTCAACATGGACGCCTGGCAGAGGGTGGAGGACCTGTGGGACACGCTGGAGAAGCAGGTGCGAGCTGCGGGCTCGGGTTCGACTCCCGCCAACGACCATTCCGTTTTCTTGCAATTTTTCATCGTGTTGTGTTGACGAGCAGGTGCAGCAGTGGCTGTGGCTGCTGGACTCGCGGCTGCCGCCGCCGCTGGGCGAGGTGGGGCAGTGGCTGGCGCGGGCCGAGCGCCTGCTCACGTCCGACGCCACCGACATCCCCACCGTCATGAACGAGGAGACGGCGTCCGTCATCAGCCGCAAGCTGGAGGAGCACAAGGCGTTCTTCGCAGAGCTGCCCGCGGTGCAGGCCAAGTTCCAGGCCGCGCGCTTCGGGCCCGCCGCGCACGGAGTGCCACCCCAGCAGCTGGACAACATCGCGCACCGCCTGGAGGAGGTGGGGCCGCGCGCCGCGCAGCGCCGCGTCAAGCTCAAGTTCCTCGAGCACAAGGTGAGTGACGATAAGGTTTGGAGCCACGCGGCGCTCTGAGCCCGTCTTGTTGGCTCAGTGATTTGAGTGGTCACTCTGTATACTACCAGTTCTGGGTTCAAATCCCGCATTGCCCTAGTATTACTTTTGCTGAAATTTTGAGACTGTGCTAGCCATGGTCTCATGCGTCTTTAAACCAAATTACAGCGGAATATTCCAATTTTCGTTGGCCTCATGCAGGCGTTTGATGACGTTCCCCGATTGTTTTGCAGTGCTGCCTCATCGCGTTCCTCAACCTGACCGAGACCAAGCTGCGCGGCTGGACCGTCAAGTACGGGCGCGAGGACCACGTGCAGTCCCTGCTGGAGCAGTACGCCAACTTCGTGTCGCGCAACCGCATCTTCCAGGAGTTCAACAAGGCCTTCATCGACATGCAACAGGTGGTGGAGGAGTACAAGCGCGAAGGGGGCGTAGGTGCGTATGAGGAGAGCGTCGAAGCGCGTCGCCGACGCACAGTGGGCCAGGAGACCAGTGGAGGCGGTCAAAATCCTGGACGCGTTTTGGGCTCCAGACTCCCTAAATGGGACTCAAACCAAACGTGTGACCCCACCAATAGATTGCTCCTCAAACGAGGAATCTATTGGTGGGGTCACACGCTCGGTTTTAGCCCCTCCACCGGTCTCCTGGCCCACTGTGCGACCCCTAGCTCCTCGTCGTGGTGTTGACGTAACCTCTCCGTTCCGCCGCAGACAAGCGCGAGGGCGCGGCCATCGACCGCTTCATGCGCGAGACGGCCTCTAGGTGGGAGCAGGTGTCGCGCGAGCTGCGCTGCGTGCAGAACATGCTGGAGGAGGTGGTGGCGTACTGGCGGCGCCACGCCGCGCTCACGCAGGAGCTGGAGGACTGGCTGCAGCGCGCGGGCCGCGCCGTGCAGAGCATGTCGCCGGCCGAGCAGCAGGACTTCTTCCAGGACCTGAGCGTGTGGAAGGACAAGCACGCCCTGCTCGTGGACACGGTGGGCTTCCTGACGGCGCCTGCGACGACAACGTGTCCCGGTCTCTCCGCGACGCGCTGGCCGACCTGACGGCACGCTGGGAGGGCGTGTTCGCGCACGTGCAGCAGTACATGCACGCCGGCGACCTGCTCCGCCTGCGCCGCGAGTTCCACGACGGCATGGAGCGGCTGCAGCGCTGGCTGCGCGGCGCCGAGACGGTGCTGGCCAACCTGCACCTGGAGCTGGGCTCGGCCGACCGCGTCAAGGCGTACGGCCAGGAGCTGCAGCAGCTGCAGTCCGAGGTGGAGGGCATGGAGCAGCTGTTCAAGAGCATCAGCAAGACCTTCCAGAGCCTCATCCAGGAGCTGTCGCGCCAGGACGTGGAGGCCATGATGGACACGCTCAAAAGGAGAAGGGTAGGTCCACAGTCGTCCACAGTGGTCGTCTCACGCGCCGAACTTGGCCCTTAACCGTTTTTTTCGGTTCGCAGAGGCGCTGGTGCGGGTGCGCGCGCAGATCCCCACCCAGCTGCACCTGTACCACCAGGTGCTGGTGCAGCAGGAGTCCCTGGAGGCCGGCCGGCGCGAGATCTCGGCCTGGCTCAACGAGGCCGACGTCGTCCTGGGCGAGCGGGCGCCGTCCGGCTCGCGCGAGCAAGTGCAGGCGCAGCTCGACCGCCACAAGGTGCGTCGCCCACTCCCCCGTCGAGTGAAGGCCACCTCGGATCGGGTTGTACTCATTCTCTTCTCGGACGCAGGCATTCTTCTCGCGGCTGCCTTACTACAAGTCGATGCTGGACAGCAAGGTCAAGGTGCTGTTCAACATGCTCAAGAGCGTGGAGGCGACGGCGGACGAGCACACGCAGGCGGGCGGCAGCGTGGAGCAGCTCAAGCAGGACATGTCCGCCTTCGCCACCCGCTTCGCCAGCGTGTCGCTGCGCGCGCAGCAGCAGGAGGCTGTAAGTTTTCGCATCTATCTCAATGTCACAGCAAATTTTGACACCAAAAAAAAAAAAGTTTCCCGGACGGGATTTGAACCCACGATCTTTCCCTCGCCACTCGCAGAAGCTGCAGGAGGCGCTGCGCTGCTGGCAGAACTTCCGCGAGGCGGAGCGCGTCATCTCGGAGTGGCTGCAGATGGCCGAGAAGCTGATCGCCGACAAGCACATCGACACGCGCCACACCGTGGAGACGCACAAGAACTTCTTCGAGCGCGTCAACGAGCAGTGGCTGCAGGACCTGGTCAACACGGCGCAGGACCTGCGCGCCGCGCTGCCCGCCGACAACCACCCCGCCATCAACAGCGCCGTGGAGCAGCTGCAGGCCAAGTGGAAGGTGAGTAGAGAGCGCCTGGAAAGAAGACCCACCCGCAGATCACTTCTTGCGACATCGTCAGGCGCCTGGAGTGTGGGCCGGCCCGTTGAACTCGCGCGTTCGGCGGGCTTGCCTATCTTGTCCTAGTCAGGCGCCTGTGGGGTGGGCCTGCCCGTTGACTCGCGCGTTCGGCGGGCTTGCCTATCTTGTCCTCGTCAGGCGCCTAGGCCTACCCGCAGAATTTCTTTTCACTCGTCCGAGTGCGTCCTTGTCGCCGGTTTACGTTGTCGCGCTCGCATAATGTCAAAGTTAGCGGAACGGCGTTTTGCTTGGCGCGCTTTGCCGTCGGCGGGTGAAGTCGTTGGAGATGACAGGCGGCCCGTTAGCAGGCCGTGCAAGTCCGGGAGGCGCCATCAAGTGGAGCGGCCTTCGGCGGTGCGGTGTGGCGGGGCGCGTGGCGGTGCACTCGGCGCTGCGCCGCGTCGCGGGGACGGACACCTCCTTGCGGCGCTGCGCTCCCGGTGGGTGGCAGTGCCGTGCTTTCCCAGCTCACCGCGGCGGAGGCAGCGCTAGTCGCCCGCGCGCCGCCTCTGCCGCGCCTCTGCCGCGCCGCGTCGCCGCACCGCGTCGCGGCGGTCGCGGCGCCGGCCGGCCGGCGGCGCGCTGGGATTGGGACGCTGGGCGCTAGATGGCGGCACCTGACGCCAAGGGCGCCGCGGTGCAGAGCGGTGCAGAGCGCCGCGCGGACGGCGTCGTCGTCGCCCAGCTGGCACCGCCCGGCGTCTAAATAAGGAGACCGATTCGCTCAACGCCAGCACCGCCCCCTAAATAAAAAATTGTGGAAATTTTAGAAAATGAACGAACAATAATTTGACAAACCTTGAGTGGATGAAACGTGGAAATAAATTTGGGTCGATCGGCGACCGTCAGGAATCGAACCCGTGGCGGGGAACTGGAATAGGCAATCCCTTGACCACCGTTCAGCTCGCCGACAGAGCCACAGACTGACTGACCGCTGACCTCCTCCGCAGGAGGTGCTCTCGTTCGCGCCGCTGCACCTGATGCGCCTCGAGTTCCGCCTGGACGAGGCCACCTTCTCGCACTACCTGAAGGAGATCGACAAGGAGCTGGCGGCCGAGCAGCAGGCCATGAACCGGAACCAGGCCGTGGACGGCGCCGACGGCATCCTGGCCAGGAACAGGGACTTCTTCGTGGAGCGGCGCACGCTGGAGGAGGCGGAGCGCTGCCTGCGGCGCCTGGCCGTGACCGCGCAGGCCTACGCCAAGCACCGGCCCGACGACCTGGCCCTGCTGGAGGCCCAGCGCCGCGCCCAGGCCCTGTGGGAGGGCGTGCTGGCCAAGGTCAACGAGTTCACGCAGACCCTCAAGAACATCCCCGACCAGTGGACGGCCTACCGCGCCAAGTGAGTGCGGCACCCGCCCGAACCGGGGGCAGGACGAATGTGCTTGTTGGCGTGTTTTCACGCTTGTACCTCCTCCCAGGTTCACGGACATGGTGAAGTGGATGGACGCCGTGGACCGCAGCCTGGAGAACGTTCTGAAGGACCTCCTGACCATCGAGGAGTTCGAGTCGGAGAGGGCAGTCTTCCAGGTGAGGAGCGCCTCTGTTCTAAAACAACTCGAATTTAAATTTACTCAACACTTTTCTTAACTATCTTTTTTCTCGTGCATGAAGGTAGCTCTTTGGTACAAGTAATTTATTATTGCAATTTGCATGTCATTGGTCAAGTCAACAAAAGACCTAAAACTTTTGTACACCAGAAGTAACTTCTTTGACGACGCCTAGGCGATGGACAGTAACCTAGCCGCTTTTGCCCTGCTTTTGTTGTGACTGCGTGCACTGCGTGGCGGTCGACTTGCCTCGCAGCGCCACTGCATGCCGCAGTGGAGGAAGCAGCGCCTCAACCGTCTGCTGGTAATGCACGTGCTGCACGTCGTGCTGGGAGGGGAGGTAGCTGCACAGTGCAGGGGCCGCGTGTACTCATTGGGTCGTGTCTGCTTAATTAGTTTTGTCAACTAGGGGGTCAATTCGGGAAGAAAAGTACAGGGTGAGCCATCCCTCGACTAGTTATTTCACTGAGTGTGAAATCTCCGTTAAATGGGTGTCGAGGTGGGGTGCAGTCGACCTCCGTGTACTCAAGAGCCCTTCGGACTTGTGTACTTACATTACCCTGTAGTTTTCTTCCCTGAGCTACCCGTAGGTTAGGTTTGAGATTTTTCTGTGCGGAAATCCCTCTTGGATTCGCGGCCCTGACTCGCGTTGTGCGTTTGCAGTCCATCTGCCGCGAGGTGGACGCGCGCCGCGAGGACGTCAAGTGGCTGGTGCAGACGCTGGACGCGCTGACGGTGACGCGGGCCGACAGCGAGGCGCTGGACGAGCAGCGCCTGCTCGAGGAGCTCATCGCGCGCTACAAGAACCTCATCCCCAGCATCGAGATGACCGTCGTCCGCACCGAGCTCTACTCCAAGTGCTACGTGTACACCAAGGAGGTGAAGGAGGTACGTACGCGTCGTGCTGGGCAGCGCACGCTGTTCCAGGCTGAAACAGCCACGCTGTTCGAGGCTGAAACAGCCACGCTGTTCGAGGCTGAAACAGCCACGCTGTTCGAGGCTGAAACAGCCACGCTGTTCGAGGCTAAAACAGCCACGCTGTTCGAGGCTGAAACAGCCACGCTGTTCGAGGCTGAAACACTCCTTGCACTCCTTGCAGGTGTGCGGCCTGCTACAGAAGGTCCAGGAGAGCGCGGGCGCGGCCGAGCCGCACCCGGAGACGCTGCCGGCGGTGACGGCGCTCGTGGTGCAGCAGGAGGGCGCGGTGGCGCAGCTGGACAGCCAGCGGCCCGCCGTCGTGTCCATGTTGCAGCGCGGCAAGGACCTGGGCCGCGACGCGCACGCGCCCCGCTTCCTGCACGAGCAGGTGCAGGCCCTGGAGCAGGGCTGGAGCCAGGCGTACCAGACCACGCTGGACAAGCTGGCCCGCCTGCGCGGCACGCAGCGCGCCTGGCAGAACTACTGCGAGCAGCGCGACGCCCTCAACGGCCTGCTGCAGCGCGCCGACGCCGAGCTGCGCTCCGTGTCGCGCGGCGGCAACGCGCTGCGCGTGGCCGTGGAGCTGCGCGAGAAGCAGGCGCAGTGCAAGGCCCTGCGCGAGGCCACCGAGACCATGCTCAAGAGGCTGCGGGACCTGTACGCGGCGCTGTGCGCCGTCACCGCGCCCGACACCAAGCCCGTGCTGCAGCGAGAGGTCAGTAGGCGCCCCGGCTTTGGCCATCCGTCGGCGCGGCGAGTGGGCTAAAGGGCTAACCCTCGGCGTGCCGCAGGTGCTGGACATCGAGACGAGGCTGCAGACGACACTGGAGGCCACGCAGCAGAGGGTCCAGCACCTGGAGCAGCTGCAGGCGCGCTGGGGGCAGCTGGAGTCGCGGCTCGGTGACGTGCACACGTGGACCGTGGCCTCGGCCCCGGCGCTCCTGGCGCGCCTGCAGGCCTCGGACATGGAGCCCGAGCAGCGCGCGAGCCACGCGCAGACCCTGCAGCAGCAGCTGGCGCAGAAGGGCACCGTGCTGGAGGAGGTGGAGGCCGAGGCCGAGCAGTTGCTGGGAGGTTAGTGAACTCGAGAGTCAACCCTTGTCCAGACTGCTTACCTTTTGCGTGCGGAGAGTCCTGACTTTGCCTGTCGACAGAACTGGTGGACGGCCCGGACGCGGCCGAGATCCGCAAGCGGGTGGCCGCCGTGCGCGGCGAGGTGGCGCAGGTCCGCGCCGAGGCCCTGCAGCAGAGCCGCGCCGTGGAGACGGACCTGCAGCAGTGGCAGCGCTACCAGGCCGCGCTGGCCGAGATCAGGCCCTGGCTGGAGCAGGCCGAGGTCCGCGTGGCCTCCGGCGTGCAGCGGCTGCAGCGGCCCGGGTCGCTGGCCGAGGCCGAGGACCTCCTGCAGCAGGCCAAGCTGTTCGAGAAGCAGGTCGCCGAGCGGCTGACCGGACTGCAGTCGCTGGCCGCGCTCAGCCAGCAGCTGCCGCCGGCCAGCCGCGCCGTCGTCGAGGTGGACGCGGCGCGCGCACGCTGGGCGCAGGTCCAGGACGGCGCCGGCAAGCAGACGGCGCGCCTGGAGGGCGTCGTCGCCGAGTGGCAGGACCTGGATAAGCGGACCGTCGCCCTGGAGAAGTGGCTCGGCCAGGGTGAGGCCAAGCTCCAGCAGGCCGTGCTCAACATCAACACCCCGAGCACCGACAAGCTGCAGGCTCAGCTCGACCAGCTCAAGGTATGCCCGCCAGGCCACTGCTTCAGAAACAACATGACGCATTTCGGCCACCGGTCCAAAAGCATGATATTTCCCCATTTCGGCCCCCAGTCCGGACACCTGTTTTAAAAGATAGTGTTTGTTTCTCCCCGCTGCCCACAGGTGTTCCAGCAAGAAGTGAGCTCGCACCAAGCCCAACTGGTGCCGCTGGCGCAGGCGAGCGAGGCCCTCATGAGCAACCTGACCCCGGAGGGCGCCACGGCGCTCAAGGGCAGGCTGGCGGAGAGCAGGATGCGCTTCACGCAGCTGGCCGAGGGCGTGCGCCACAAGGTCATCTGCGTGTCGGACGCGCTGCTGTCCAGGCAGGAGTTCCAGGGCAGGCTGGCGGACTTCGGCACGTGGCTGGAGCGGCTGGCGGAGAGCTCGCAGCAGGTCAAGACCCTCACCATGACCCCGGCCGACGCGGGCGTGCTCTTGCAGCGGACGCACGTCCTGCTGCAGGAACACGCCGAGCACCAGCCGTTGTTCACGGCCATCTACGAGGAGGTCAAGAGGCTCTCTGAGTTCAGGTCCGTGAAAGATGGAAAGCAATGTGCACTCTGCGCAACTTCTTTGTCGCCAAATTTCGCGACGCTTATTTGCAACCTTGTTCGTTGACAGTTCACCCGAGGACGCTCGCGCCCTGGACGACGCCTACACCGCGCTGTCCGCCAAGTACCAGCAGATGGAGGAGGGCCTGCAGTCGAAGCGGGTCGTGCTGGAGCGCTGGGTGGAGCTGCTGAGCTGGCACGCCGACACCAACGAGAGCCTCGCGCACGTCCGCTACCAGCTGGAGGGCCGCGCCGAGGATGTGGAGCTGGACAAGCTGGCCGCCGAGCTGGACGCCACGACGGCCAAGGTAGCGCAGTGGAAGGAGGCGGCGGGCGCCATCGACACGGCCAGCAAGCAGAGCGGGCTGCAGGTGCGCGTGCAGGCCGTGGAGCTTGTGGCGGCGGTGGACGCGCAGGCCGCGTCGCTGCGCACGCAGCTGGCGGCGCGCCGCGAGGCCCTGCGCACCGTGGGCGCGCACTGGGCGCACTTCCAGGAGCGGCAGCAGGCGCTCTCGGTGCAGCTCCTCGCCGCGCAGGAGGCGGTCCAGAAGGCCCAGATGACGGCGGACCGGTGCTCGCGCCTCGACGCGGCGTCGGCCACCATCCTGCAGCTCTACGAACAGCACCAGGGCACGCAGGCCGACCGGGAGCGCCTGCACGAGGAGGGCCTTCGCCTGATGGCGGAAGACCAGCGGAACGCTCCCACCGTGCAGGGCATCCTCGCGTCCTACGACGCCAACTGGGACAAGGTGAGCGAGATGCTGCGCGAGGCCAAGATGCGCTACTCGGACCTCAGCGGCGCCTGGAGGAAGCTGTGCGAGGCGCGCAGCCGCGTCACCGCCGGCGTGGCCGAGGCCGCCGCCATTCTGGGCCCCGACGACGCCAGGGAGGTGCCCACCGACATCACGCAGGCCACGCTGGCACTGGACCGCGCCAAGAAGGCCCTGGACCACGTCAAGAAGGCCAAGGGTGCGCTCGACATCATGGACAGCAAGGCGCAGGTGCTGACCCGGCTGGTGCAGGACGTGCCCGGTGAGTCATTTCATGGGAAGGGTTGGTCGTGCGTTTAGTCCAGCATCCTGGTTGAAGACGGCATAGATCTTCAGACCTAACGAGCTGAAAGTTTTCAAGATGGAAAATAGGGTTGGCATCAGGGCGGCATTGGTGTGTCTCAGGGTGGAGCAACGAGGAGGTGGAGCAGTCCCTGAGCCAGGCGCACCGCGAGTGGCAGGAGGCCCAGGACGCGGCCACGCGCCGCATCCACCTGCTGGAGGCGCAGCTCGTCATCTGGAGGCAGATCGAGGAGGCCAAGAGCGACTTGCTGCAGTGGCTCAGCGAGACCAGCGGCGGGCTCACGGTGAGTCGCGACGAGACACGACACTCGATAGGAATATTCCAAGGCGGGAAATAACTTAGAATTTCAGTGTACAAAATTTTGAATTGTACATTAATTTTGGATGAATTTTAATGAATTGAAGCTAAATTTCCTTGAATTGCTGTATGAACGTCACTGATATCTGTTGTTGGTGCCGCAGCTGTCCGGGACGCTGTCGGACGCGGAGACGACCCGGCAGCGCCTGGCGCGGTACCAGGAGGAGCTGCCCATGAAGCAGAGCCTGCAGGCGTCCATCGAGGCCAAGCACGAGCAGCTCGTGAAGCTGAACGACGGGCGCGCCGTGCCCACCCTGGACGCGCTGACGCGCCTGCTGCGCGAGCAGTTCGCCCACGTGCGCGGCATCGCGGACCAGCTGGACTCGGCGGCCGCGTCTCTGGAGAAGCAGGAGGCGACGGTGCGCGCCGAGATGAAGCACGTCGGCGACAGCGTGTCGCGCGTCCGCGAGGCCGTCATCAAGTGCGACGACCTGACGGGCGACACGCCGCGCGTGCTGGAGCGCCTCAAGACCTGCCAGGCGCTGGCCGGCGACCTGCGGGCCCTGCGCGACAGCCTGGACGCCGTGGAGAAGTCCGTGTCCACGGTCAAGACGGAGTTCCCGGCGTTCGGCGACAACACGGGCCTCGTCAAGGAGCTGGCCGGCCTGCGCAAGCGCTACGAGGGCGTGGCGGCGCACGCCGACAAGGTGCAGGCCACGCTGCGCGCCTACCTCCGCAAGTACCACGCCGACAAGCAGGCCGCCCTGCAGCGCGCGCTCGCCGCCCTCAAGGAGAAGATCGTCTGGTGCGAGCCCGAGCCCAGCAGTGACCGCTACAACCTGGAGGTCAAGCTCACGTCGCTCGAAGGTAAGGCCTGGGCCTGGCTCGCGACTTGTGAGTTTGATTTCGAAAGGATTAAAGTATTTTTAAAAAAGAAAAATTAAAACAAAAATTTTGAAAAGTAATCGGAATAAGGAAATGCATAAGAATAAATGACATTTTTCACATGTTTCTTTCACCTTTTAATACACTGCACCAGTGAATGACTTGCTGACCGTACTCGTTTGGCCTTTGCTTTGCAGAACTGACGGCGGGGCTCTCGGACTGCGAGCGAAGGCAGGCCGAGCTGGTGCAGAGTCTGGAGCAGCTCCGCGGCGTGGAGACGGCCGAGGCCGTGGCCGAGCTCACCTCGGAGCGCGACGAGGTGGCGCTGGAGGTGACGGCGCTCAAGGCGGCGCTGGCCTCCACGCGGGCCCTGCTGGAGAAGGGCGTGGCGCAGTGGCGCGAGCTGGAGACGCGCTCCGAGAGCGTGGCCGCCTGGCTCAAGGAGGCCGAGGCCAGGATGCGGACGGAGACGGCCAGGCAGGCCGACCTGGCGCACCTCGACGAGCACATCCAGGAGATGGCCGCGTTCCTCAAGCAGGTGGGAGCGCAAAACGCGTCCGGGATGTTGACAGCCTCCACCAATGTCGGGCTGTGGCGTGACGACGGGTTGCTGTTGCAGATCGAGGACTTCGAGCACGAGACGGAGGCCCTGACCAAGCTGGCGGAGGCCATGGCCAAGGAGAACCCCGAGTGCCGCGCCACGTCGCACGTCGGGCTGCTGTCGGCGAGGCACACCGCCCTGCGCCGCACCATCCGCGCGCTGGTGGACCAGCTCAAGACGCTGCGCCAGGACCAGCAGCTGTACGTGGAGGCCGTGAAGCAGGCCGAGAAGTGGCTCGCGCAGGCCGAGGCGCGGCTCAAGTCGTGCGAGGAGGTCCTGTCGGCCGGCACCAAGCCCACGGCGGCCTACCAGGGCCAGCTGCAGGCCCTCAAGGACTTCCTCGGCGAGCGCGAGCGCGGCCAGGCCCTGGTGGGCGCGGCGGTGGAACGCGGCGAGGCGCTGCTGTCGGCGTCACCCCCGACACCAGGGAGAGCGTCCGCGCCGAGCTGCGCCGCCTCCGCGACGCGGCTGAGGGGCTGCTGGACCGCGCCAACGCGCTGCAGAAGCGCGTCGAGGGCGTCATGATGCAGCGCGCCTCGCTGGACGAGAGCACGGCGCAGGTGGAGCAGTGGCTGACGGAGGCGGCGGACCGGCTGGGCCCCGCCACGGAGCTGTGTGCCACGCTGCCCGACAAGAAGCGCACCCTGCACGCCGTGCGAGCGCTCGCCGCCGACGCCGCCAGCCACGGCGCCATCCTACGCACGCTGCAGGACAAGACGGCCGGGCTGCAGGACGCGGACGCCTCGGCGCGCCTCAACAAGATCCTCGGCCAGTACCGAGACCTGAGCACAACCGCCGAGCAGCGCGTCACCGTCGCCGAGAAGCACGTCGTCAACCATGAGGCCTACTTGCAGGTAAGCGGCGCGCTAGTCCCGAGCATGTGTCTACACGACAGTACACGTACATGTTAAAACCTGCTTTGTCGCATTGGCAGACCCTGGAGAAGGCCCGCGATTGGCTGACGGCGTTCGCGGGGGAGGCGGCGGCCGTGACGGACGACGCGGCGCTGGAGAAGGACGGCGCCGACGAGAAGCTGGGCTTGATCAAGGAGCTGGCGAGCCAGCGCGCCGAGGGCGAACAGCAACTGGAGGCATGCCGCGCGCAGCTGCAGGGCGTGCTGCTGGAGACGGCGGCCGTCGGCCATCCCGCGCTGCAGCAGGAGCTGGAGGAGCTGCGCGCGCGACTCGCCTCGGTGCAGCTGCAGCTGCAGGACTCGCAGACCAGGCTCACGCAGCTGTGCTCCAGGTGGACCGAGTTCGAGAAGGAGGTGGACGACCTGGCGGAGTGGGTCAAGGCCAAGGAGGCGGCCGCCAAGGACCAGAGCCTGCGCAGCTCGCGCGACGCCAAGCAGGCCTACCTGGACAAGCTGCGCGCGCTGGAGGCGGAGATCCTGGACAAGGGCGCGGAGCTGAACGCCACGGCGCAGGCGGCGCAGGGCAGCGCCCTGGAGACAGAGACCGAGCTCCAGGCCAAAGTGTCGCGCCTGCTGACGCGCTACCAGGCCCTCAAGAACACCGCGCGCGAAGCGGTGCAGCGCTACGAGGGCTTCGTGCGCGAGCACGCCGCCTTCGACAGCAGCCACCTCCAGTTCATGGCCTGGCTGCCCACCGTGCAGGCCGAGCTGGGTGAGCTCAGCGCCGTCGTCGGCGACCTGGGCGCGCTGCAGCAGCGGCAGGCCGCCATGCGCCGCCTGCAGGACGTGCGCTCCGCCGAGGCAGCCAAGATGGACGCGCTGGTGGAGGCGGGCGAGCGGCTGTACGCGCATACGTCCCCCGACGGCAGGGAGGTGGTGCGGCAGCAGCTCCGGACGCTGCGCCACCAGTGGGACGGCTTCAGCGACGACCTGCAGGCCGCGGCCGCCAGGCTGGACCAGTGCCTCTCGCAGCTGTCGGACTTCCAGGCGGCGCAGGAGCAGCTCACCAAGTGGCTGCTCGACGTGGAGCGCGCCATGTCGCAGGTAAGCCGGATCTGAACAACAATGTGTTCGGATCGATCGGTTCGATAAAATTTTTGATTTGTTCGGATCGGTCGGATCGTATCGTTTTGATCAACTCTTATATTTATTCCGAACAAACATTTGTTCCACAGCACACCGAGCGACGTGCAACACTGCAGGAGAAACGCGCCCAGCTCCAGAACCACAAGATGATGCAGCAGGAGATCACGTCGCACCAGCAGCTGGTGGAGGCGGTGTGCGAGAAGGCGCAGCAGCTGCTGGAGCAGACGCGCGACGCGGCGCTGGGCGAGTACCTGACGACCATCAAGACCCTGTTCGCCGACATCGTGGCCAAGTCGCAGAGGCTGCTGGACCAGCTGGAGGAGAGCGTGCGTCGCCACGCGCAGCTGAGCGCGCAGAGCGACGAGTTCCGGGACTGGCTGGCCAAGCAGCGCAACGAGCTGGCCGCCCTGGACGACGTGAGCGGCGAGAAGGCGGACCTGACGCGCCGCCTGGCCGAGCTCAAGGCGCTGCAGGAGAGGGAGGCGGTGGGCGAGACGAAGCTGGCCGAGCTGGAGGAGGTGCTGCAGGTGGTGGCGAAGGGCACGGCGCCCAAGGGCGTGGACGCGCTCAAGCAGGCCCAGGCCGAGGCGCGCGACGCGCTGGCCGCGCACCTGCAGGTGGCTTCGGCCGTGCAGTCGCGCCTGGAGGAGGCGCTGGCCCAGTGGCAGCAGTTCGAGCAGCAGCTCGACGCGCACACCAAGTGGTTCCGCGCCACCGAGGCCGTGTTCCGGCAGCAGCAGCTGCAGTCCACGCTGCCGCAGAAGGAGGAGCAGCTCCGCGCCTTCCAGGGCCACCGCGAGGAGATCACGGCGCGCGAGCAGGACATGGACGCCTTCGTGGACCGGTCGCACGCGCTGCTCAACCTGAGCCGCGCGGAGCGGATCAAACCGCTCATCTCGCAGATGAGCAACCGGTACCAGCTGCTGCACGTGCTGAGCAAGGAGGTGGTGAACCGGTGGCAGGGGCTGGTGGAGGACCACCGCCTGTACCGCGACCGCCTGGCGGAGACCGAGGCCTGGCTGGCGCCGCTGGAGGCGCGCCTCGCTCGCATGGTGGAGCTCCGCGGCGGCGGGGTGCGCGGCGGCCCCGCGGACGCGGCGGCGGACGCGGCCACGGAACTGCAGGCCCTGCTGGCCGAGCACGAGCAGTCCGAGCACCGCCTGGCGGGGCTCAGCACCGTCGCCGAGCGCCTGCTGTCGGACACCGCGGCGCCGGGCCGCGAGCGCGTCCGCCAGGAGATGCGGACGGTGCGCGAGCGCTGGGACGCCCTGGGCGAGCAGCTCAAGGAGCAGCGCAAGCGGCAGGACGCCGTGTCGCAGCAGTGGAGCCAGTTCCAGGAGGCCCTGCAGCAGACGCTGGCCTGGCTGGACGCCATGGAGAAGCAGCTTCAGCCCGAGCAGGCCGCGCCCTGGGGCTCCAGCCCCGAGGTGCGCGCCAAGCTGCTCAAGAACAAGACGTCCCTGCAGGAGGTGCTGTCCCACAAGCGCGTCGTGGAGGCCCTGACGGATAGGGCGGCCGCACTGGCGGGCGCGGGGGAGGCTCAGGCCGGCGAGGCGCAAGCCGCCTCGGCCGCCGCGGCCCAGCGCTACGAGCGGCTGGTGGATGCCTGGCTGCAGAACATCACGCAGCTCGAGGAGGCCCTGGACACGTTCACGCACTTCCAGGACCTCTTCAAGGGCCTCCAGGAGTACCTCAAGCAGCTGCAAGAGCGCCTGTCCTCGCTCACAGGTTCGTGCCTGGGCCTTGGGCGTCAAAGTTCATCGCTTAACCAGCCGATTTTCTTAACGTTTCTCCCCGTGTGCTCAGACTACACTGGCAACAAGGCGGCGCTGCAGTCCCGGCTCACCAAGCTGTCCGAACTGCAGGACGGCTTGTCGGAGGGGCTGGCGCGCCACGGCTCCCTGGCCGACCACGTCGGCGCCAAGGCGGCCAAGCTGCCGCCGCGCGCCAGGGAGGCCATGGACCGCGACCTCGCCTCGCTCAGGTACGTGGGTGTCTGGGGCACTGTGAGGCTCAAACACTGGATTGAGCTTTCTATTTCTCCGGGTCGCTAAACTGAACTTAACGCGCGGCAGGTTCGACCTGGAGAAGTTCGGGTCGCAGCTGGAGGACGTCCGCCTCGGCGTGGAGAAGCGCCTGCAGCAGTGGGCCGAGTACGAGCGCGCCCTGGAGCGGCTGCTGGGCTGGCTGGCGGACGCCGAGGCCACGCTCAAGAACTACCAGCCGCGCGGCACGCTGGAGGAGAAGCGCGAGCAGCTGGACAAGTACGAGGCGCTCATCGGCAGCCTGCGCCAGAACGAGGCCGAGCTCGACAAGATCAGCGACGAGTCCTCCGAGCTGGCGCAGTCCAGCGGGGAGAGCAGGGTCACCGTCAGCCTGCAGCAGGTCACCTCGCGCTTCCAGTCCGCGCAAGCCACGGCCAAGGTGAGTCTCGGCGCCCGCCGCGCCACCAGCTCCATCGAACCCAATTCGAGTTTTCGAGAAATAACTAAAATACTGGCTTTGCATCACGCAGGAGATAGTGAAGAAGTGCAAGCAGGCCGTGCAGGACCACGCCGCCTACCTCGACAAGTACCGCCAGTGCTCCGAGTGGCTCGCCGCGGCGCAGGCCCGCTTCGACACGTGCAACGTCAGCAGCTCGGTGAGTCCTCCCACTTGGTCCCCAAAGTCGTTGACTGGCGGGACAATCCTTTCCGGCGAAACCGTTCTGACGAGGACTGTGCAGGCCGGCACGCGGCCCGAGCTGGAGACGCAGACGGCGACGCTGCGCGAGCTGATGGCGGAGCAGCCGGCCGCCGCGGCGCTGGTGAACGCCACGGTGGAGGTGGGCGAGAAGCTGTACCCCAGCACGTCGGCCGAGGGCCGCGAGGCGGTGCGCGCGCAGCTGGAGGAGCTGCAGGCGCTGTCGGAGCAGCTCTTCGACACCATCAGCAGCGCGGAGCGGGACCTGCAGGACCGCATCTCGCGCTGGAGCGGCCTGGAGGAGTCCTCCGACTCGCTGCGCCGCTGGCTGGCCGAGGCCGAGGCGCTGCTGGCCGGCGAGATGCGCCTGCACGCCACGCTCGACGAGAAGCGGGCCCAGCTGCAGACGTACCGCGGCGTGCTCACCGACGCCCAGCAGCACCACCAGCAGCTCGCCCACCACCGCGACCGCGCCGACGCCCTGCGCGAGCACAGCGACCAGCGGGCCATCGACCTGCAGCTCAACGCCCTCACCACGCAGCACGCCAACATCCTGCAGCGCGCGCAGGTAAGGGGGCGTGCTTCGGCCATCGCTTAAAGTCACCTAGGCAGCTTGCAGAGATTTGACGAGATTTGGGCCCACCTTGCAAGGATATAACCTTAGTTAACTCGCTGTGGTCAAGGTGTTCCCGGAAAGGGTGGAGGGTGGGGCCTTGAGTTGGGGGTACTCCTTCACCACAGCTAGATAGGAAGCCGAGTACCAGCACCTTTTGGCTCCAAGGGTTAGGACGATTTTCCCTGCGGGTAATTTTTGTGCAACGCGCATCACCTTCCCGGCCTTCTTGCAGAGCTACGTGGAGCGGTACGAGGCAATCGTGAGCAACCACCAGCAGTACAGCAAGGCGGTGATGGAGACGCAGGAGTGGCTGGAGGCCACGCACCACACGGTGGTGCTGTGGGGCGACACGGACATGGAGCGCATCTCGCTGCTCACCAACGTGGAGCGCCTGCGCCACCAGCTGGCCGCGCTGCCCGAGGAGGAGCACCGCATCCACCAGATCCGCGCGCTCGCCGAGAAGGTGATCCCCGGCACGGTCGAGTCCGGCCAGGTGAACGTGCGCGCGCAGTGCGACTCGTCGCAGCAGGAGTGGGAGGGCCTGCTGTCCGCGCTCAGGGCCACCATCGAGGCGCTGGAAGCGAGGATCCAGCAGTGGAACGAGTACGAGGCGCTGCGGGAGCAGTGCCTGGCCTGGCTGCGGGAGACGGACGCCACGCTGCACGCCGTGGACCTCAAGGCCACCTGCCAGGAGAAGAAGGACCAGCTGGACGTGCTCAAGGTGAGTGGCGGTGGAGGCCTTGGACCGCGCGCGCGATGCCGCGAAGCCCTTGCAAGGACTCATGGCATCCTCCGTCGTGTTGCAGCGTCTGCAAGGCGCCGTCCGCGCCAAGGAGCTGGAGATGGACAGCGCCGTGGAGCGCGCGCAGCAGCTCATCAAGGGCGCCATGACCAACCGCAGCTCGCAGATCTCCGAGCTGGGCATGAAGTACCAGGCCGTGTCCCACAAAGTCAAGGTAACGTGTGGGCCTGAAGACCGGTGGAGGCGTCAAAATCCCGGACGCGTTTTGAGCTCCAGAGTCGCTTAATGGGACTCAAACCGAATGTTTGATCTGACCCCACTGACGGTTCACCCTGCCTCTGCTGTCGGCAGGACCTGACGTCGCGCTGGCACCAGTACGTGACGAGCCACCAGGACTTCGAGGGCCGCATCGCCGAGTGCTCGCAGTGGCTGGAGGACGTCCGCCACAAGCTGGGCTACTGCTCGGACCTGAGCGCGTCCTCGCAGAAGGACCTGGACAGCAAGATGGAGACGATCCAGGACCTGCTGCTGTACAAGGAGGAGGGCTTCAGCAAGGTGCAGGCGCTCGTGGAGCTGGCGCAGACCGTGCTGGCGAACACGGCGCCCGCCGGCCACCAGGCCATCAACGACGAGCTGGCGCGCCTGCAGGAGGAGTGGAGCGCCCTCGCGTCCAAGATGGTCGAGACCAAGGTCCGTGCCCCTCATTCACCTATGTACTTAAACCGCTTAAAGGCAGCCTTAAACACGATATCCGCCTATTTAACAACTATTCTTCTGGTTCTACTACTTGCAGGCGATCCTGGACGACTCGATCCAGCGCTGGTCCGGCTTCCTGGAGCAGATCCACAACCTCAACAAGACGGTGGAGTACCTGCAGTCCGTGACGGACGAGGTGTCCGAGTTCCAGGCCACCATGTCGGAGAAGCGCGCGCAGCTGGAGCGCATCAAGCTGCTCGAGGAGAAGGCGCGCTGCGAGAAGCTGGAGGTGGACTCGCTCAAGGCCAAGGCCGTGGAGATGCTGGCCAGCGGGCAGCAGAGCCACGCCGCCAGCCAGGCGCAGGAGATCCTCAACAGGTTCGACCAGCTCGCCGAGAGGATCAAGGTGGGTTGTTTTCTTTCCTCACCGCCAAAGGTGTGTGATTGATGATCGATGATTGATAATGATGATTGATGATGATTGATGATGATGATTGATGATGATTGATGATAATTGATGATGATCGATCGATGATGGGTGATGATTACTCGGTGAGGAGGTAGTTGACAGCGGTTGACCGGTTGCAGACGCTGCTGTCGGAGCGTGAGGAGCAGTACCGCGACCACCGCCTGTACAAGGAGGCCCACGACGACCTGATCGGCTGGCTGGGCCGCGCCAGGGAGAAGGTGCCGTCGCTCAAGCAGCGCTCGCTGAGCGACAAGCTGGCTATCGAGAGCGCGCTGGCGCCGCTGGAGGCGCTGCTCAACAAGCAGGCGCAGGGCGAGATGCTGCTGGAACCGCTGCGGAGTCGCGGCGAGGTGGCGCTCGCCAGCACCTCGCCCGCCGGCCAGGAGACGATCCGGAGCGAGATCCGCGCGCTGCAGGAGAGCTTCACCACGCTCTTCAAGGAGATCCAGCAGCAGAAGGACGCCCTCGAGGCCACCGTCGTGCAGTGGCGCGAGTACAAGGAGGAGTACGAGCGCCTGTCCGACTGGCTGCAGCAGATCGACATCCTGGTCAAGGCCAACAAGACCGCCCTGTCCGCCACCATCCCGGAGAAGCGGAAGAAGGTCCAGGAGGTCAAGGTACGTCGCAGCGGCGGCTTTCCAGCCTGCACATCGAACTGTCGCTAAATCGCGGAGCTTTCTGTTCAGGACGTCCTCAAGAGGCTGGAGGACGGCGCAGACCAGATGGAGCGCTTCAACAAGACGGCGTCCTGCCTCCTCAACTCGCACCTCGACACGTACGTCAACAACCAGCTGCGGCACCTCAACTCCCGCTACCAGGTACGGAACGACCGGCGTCTCGGTTTGCTTGCGACATTCGGCACTGAAACCCTTCCTCCTCGCGCAGGTGCAGATCAACCTGGCTAAGGACGTGCTCAAGAAGGTGGAGGGCAACCTGGACCAGCACGAGCAGTACGAGAACTACCTGGGCAAGACGCGCGCGTGGATCGACAACGCCAAGCAGGTGATCCGCGACAGCTCGGACGCGTCGGCGGCCACGCCGTCGGCCACGCCGTCGGGGCGCGACCGGGACCGCGACGAGCTGCAGACGCGCCTCAGCCAGATCCAGGAGCTGCTGCGCCGGCGCGAGGAGGGCCAGTCGCTGCTCCACGCCGCCATCAACTGGGGCGAGAAGACGGTGCGCAACACGCGCTCCGACGGCAAGGACGCCATCAACAGCGCGCTCAAGGAGCTGCAGACGGACTGGGACCGGCTGGTGCGCAAGATCTCCACCGCCAAGGTGCAGCTCGAGACGGCGCTGCTGCAGTGGGCCGACTACAGCTCGTCGTACTCGCAGCTGCAGCAGTGGATCAGCGACCGCGAGAACAAGCTGCAGCAAGTGTGCGAGCAGAAGGTGTCCAAGGCGAAGCGCGGCCAGGGCCAGGCGCCAGGCCTGAGCTCGCTGAGTATCGGCGAGCGCAAGGCCACGCTGCGGCAGACCAACAGCATCGTGCAGGACATCGTGTCCTTCGAGCCCATGATCCAGTCCGTGGCGTCCAAGGCCGAGGACTTGCTGCAGGCCGAGCCCGCGTCCGCCATCTCCACGCAGTACGAGACGCTGAGCAAGCACGCGCGCGAGGTGTACGAGAAGCAGAAGGAGACGGTGGAGCAGCACCAGGCCTTCATCGACGCGGGCACCGAGTTCATGCAGTGGATCCGCGCCGCCAAGGAGAAGCTGGGCAAGTGCTCGGAGCCCACCGGCGACAAGGAGTCCCTCAGCAGCAAGGCGTGGCACCTCAAGGTGCTGCAGAGCGAGACGGACGAGGGCCAGGCCAAGCTGCAGCGCGCGCTCGAGGCGGGCGACGCCGCCTGCCAGGGCGCCGACGAGGAGGAGCGAGAGGTCATCGAGGAGGAGGTGGCCATGCTGCAGGAGGAGCTGGACACGTACCTGGAGCAGCTGGCGCGCACCAAGGGCCTGCTGGAGGCTGGCATCGTCAAGTGGACCGACTTTGAGGACCAGCACAAGGAGGCCAGCGAGTGGCTGAGCCGCACCGAGACGCTGGTGCAGTCGTTCAACCGGCTGCAGGACGGCCTGGAGGACAAGAAGAACGTCCTGGAGCAGTTCCAGCAGCACCTGCAGCTGCTGTTCGACTGGCAGCAGCAGCTCGACACGCTCAACCTCAAGGCGCAGGTGCTGCTGGAGACGTGCGCCGACTCGCGCGTGTCCAACGCCGTCACGCAGCTCACCACCAAGTACAACGCGCTGCTGTCGCTGGCCAAGGAGACCATGCGGCGCCTCGAGGTGCAGTACCAGGAGCACCAGCAGCTCAGCACGCTGACGCAGGAGTGCCAGGACTGGCTGGAGCGCACCCGCGACAAGGTGGCCGAGTGCGGCGCCCCGCACGCCACCCTGGCCGAGGTGAACGCGCGCCTGCAGGCCGTCAAGGCCATCCGCCAGTCCCTGGAGCAGGGCCACAACAAGCTGCGCTACGCGCTCGAGCTCAAGGAGAAGGTCATCCTCAACACGGAGCAGTCCGGCGCGGCCAAGATCCAGGAGGACACGGAGAACATCAAGACCGAGTTCGATCGGCTGTCGGCGGAGGTCAACGAGTTGCGGCAGCGGCTGACTCAGCGCCAGGCGCAGCTGGAGGAGCTCTCCAAGGCCCACAAGCTGCTGCAGCAGTGGCTGGCTGAACTGGAGGTCGCCGTCAGCGGCGCCGGCAGCTCGCAGCTGTTGAACGAGCTGAGCGACAAGCGCGCGGCGCTGGAGAAGCTGCGGTCCGTGCTGCGCGACATCGCCGGCCACTCGGAGGCCGTGGAGAGGCTGAAGGCGAAGCTCGCCGACGACCCCACCCTGCCCGCCGCGCAGTTCCAGGCCAGCTTCGACAAGTACACCGAGCTCAAGGACACGGTGGCGGCCAACGTGGCCACCCTGGAGGCGCAGGTCCGCGAACACGAGCAGTACCGCCAGGCCTACCAGGAGGCCGTCGACTGGCTGCGGCGCGCGCGCCTGGAGGTGCAACAGTGCGGCGACGCGCACGGCGAGCAGGCCGTGACGGCGGACAGGCAGCGTCGCCTGCAGGCCGTGAGCGCCACGCTGCCGGAGGGCAGTGCCCTGGTGCAGAAGGCCAGCGCGCTGAGCGAGGCCGTGGCGCGCACCACCGGCGTCGAGGGCTGTGACACGCTGCACCACGAGATCCAGCAGCTACGCGACAACTGGGACTCGCTGAGCTCCGCCATCCGCGACACGCACAAGACGCTGTCGGCGTGCGCCGAGGCCTGGGCCGTCTGGACGGAGCGGCTGGACCGCGCGCAGCGCTGGCTGGACGACCTCAAGGCCCGCGTGGAGCCCGAGCTGCAGCGCGGCGACGAGAACACGCCCGAAGACCTGGAGCGCTGCCGCGCGCTCATGGCCGAGGCCAGCAGCCACCAGGGCGGCATCGAGGAGCTGAGCGACGCGTGCGAGGTGCTGATGGAGCTGGCCGCCGTGAGCTGGGTGCGCGACCGCACCGTGCAGCTGCAGGCCGCCTACTCCGCCCTCGTCACCAGCGTGCAGGGCCTCGTGTCGCGCGCGCAGAAGAACCTCTCGGACTACACCGAGTTCGCCAAGGCCAAGACGGAGCTGGAGAGCTGGCTGCAGCGCTCCCACGGCACCGTGCAGAGCTGCCGCGGCGTCGGCGACCAGGCCTGGCTGCGCGACAAGATGGACACCGTGCAGCTCGTCAACAACCGCATGACGGAGGGTGAGTGGCGGCTTCGAATGCCGAGGCATTGTTTCCAGGTGACAGTGCCTTGAACGTCGTGTTCTCTGTCCACAGGCCAGCACCTGATGTCGGCCACGCAGGAGGTGTTCGCCAAGGCGGTGAACACGGCGCCGGCCGACCGGCAGGACACGCTGCGCGAGGACATGGCCGCCCTGCGCGCCAGCTGGGACCAGCTGAGCATGGAGCTGTCGGCGGTGACGGCGCAGCTCAAGACGGCCCTGAACCGCTGGGACGACCATGCCGAGAACCACGCCCGCCTGGCCTTCTGGCTGGACGAGGCGGAGACCTCCCTGGGCCAGGCCACGCTCACGCGGCCCGAGCTGGGAGAGATGAAGACGGTCCTGGAGCGTTACCGCCACACGCAGGAGGAGGTGCGACGCCTTTCCCTTCTCTCACACTCATGGAGCGCACAGTAGGCCAGGGTGGAGGCGGCCAAAACTCTAGTGCATTTTGAGCTATAAGTAAGTTTTGTCTCCAAGTAACGCCTTGCCGTTTTGCCTGCAGATCGCCGGCAAGCGCGTGGAGCTGAACCAGCTGCTGACCGAGGCGACGGAGCTGTCGCAGTGGGCCAGCCGCCAGACTCCGCTGGAAAACGTCCGCGCGCTGGAGAAGCGCTGGGAGGCCCTCAACAGCGCGTACAAGCAGCGCAGGTACGAAACTCGAAACGCGTCGGGAGGCGCGGCTCTGCAAGGAACTACCCTAAACGTTCGCCATGTTTCTTCCAACAGGGAGAGCCTGGAGCGCGAGATCGGCGAGTACGCGGCGTACCAGCAGGCCGTGCAGGACACGGAGAAGTGGATCCTGCAGGTGTCCTTCCAGCTGATGGCGCACAACTCGCTGTACATCACGAACCGCGCGCAGACGCAGGAGCAGATCAGCGCGCACCAGGCCCTGCTGCAGGACATCCGCGCCTACCAGGCCACCCTGGACAGCGTCAAGGACCGGGGCCGCGCGCAGGTGGAGCGCTACAAGGACTCGACGCCCACCATCCGGTCCACCATCGAGAAGCAGCTCAACAACATGCAGGAGAGCTACCAGTCGCTGCTGCAGACGGCGCTGCAGATCGAAGCGCGCCTCGCCGAGTCCCTGGCCAAGTTCCAGCAGTACGAGGACACGCTGGACTCCATCTGGGCCAACCTGGACACGTTCGAGCAGGCCCTGCTCAACCAGGACGCCGACGCGCCCGTGCTTAACCTGCAGCAGGCGCAGCAGCAGCTGGAGATCGCGCGGGTGAGTCCAGCAGGTCTTGCTTCTACACCTCCTTCGGTCTTCTGGCCCACTGTGCGCTGCCTCTCTCACACTACGTAATGCTTCCTCCTCGTGGTGCCGCAGGGCATGCACAACAAGCTCCAGGGCGAGAAGGGCCGGCTGGCCGTGGCGGTGCAGGCGTGCGAGGCGGCGGCGGCATGCATCTCGCGGCCCAGCAGCCCGCAGGACACGGTGCCGCCGCCCATCCCGGACCGCGAGCTGGCGGTGCGCGCGCGCCTCGAGGACCTCATCGACCAGGTGCAGGGCCGCGTGGCCACGCTCACGTCGTCCGTGGGCTCGCTGGAGGAGTGGGGCCGCGAGCGCGCCGCGCTGGAGCAGTGGGCCGCCGAGCAGCTCGCCAACGTGGCCGAGTGGCGGTCGCGGCCCGCCAAGCTGCGCCCCGAGGCCGCCCGCCAGGAGATGGCCGTCATGCAGGAGTTGGTGGCGCAGGTCTCGGACAGGCGGACCAAGCTGCTCACCGACCTGCCCCAGGGCCCCGCCGGCGAGGACTCGGACCTGGAGGGCCAGCTCGCGTCGCTGGACCACCAGCTGCAGCAGGTGATCCACAAGAAGCAGGAGCACCAGGCCGTCATCGACAACTTCCGCACGTCGGCGCAGGACTTGCAGGTACGGAGTTGGCTCGGCGACCGACCGCGTCGTTGCCGCCAGGTTTGAACCTTACTCATTGTATGTTTTGGCCGCAGTCCTGGCTGGACGGCCTGCTGCGCCGCGTCGAACAGCTGGACCGCGGCGGCCACGACTGCGCCTGGAAGCTGGGCCAGCTGCGAGAGATCTCCACCGAGCTCAACGACACCGGGCCGGCGCGCCACGCCGAGGTGAAGGCCCTGGCCAAGCAGGTCATCGCGCTGGTCAGCAACCTGGACGCCCAGCAGGTGGAGGAGCAGATGAAGGCGGTGGACCGGCGGTACGGCGACGTGGAGAAGCGCCTGCAGCGCAAGATGCAGGTGCTGGAGCTGACGCGGAAGGGCGTGGACAGCGCGCGGCAGGAGATCGACGCGGCGCGCGCCTGGGTGGCGGACAAGCTGCGCGAGCTGCGCGAACTGCCGCCCCTGGGGACCACGGTGCGCGCGGCCGAGGAGCGCCAGCAGGCCCTCAAGGCCCTCGCCAAGGAGGCCGAGGGCAAGCAGGTGCTGCTGGACTCGCTGACCAAGCGCGTGGACGGCATGAAGGCCGAGCTGGAGCCCAGCGAGCTGGCGGCGCTCGAGTCGTCGCTGCGGTCGCTGGAGGCCGAGCAGGCCGACCTGCGCGGCCAGCTGCGCTCGCTGACGACCGCGCTCGCGTCCTCGCTGGAGGCGCGCCGCGTGCTGGAGACGGGGCTGGAGGACGCGCGCGCCTGGGTGCGCACCAGGCTCGCCGACCTGCAGCGCCTCGGCGACACCGCGCCGCTCAAGGCCGCCAAGGTGGAGCGCGAGATCCAGCAGTTCCAGCAGGCCGAGAAGGACGCGGAGCACTTCGGCAAGACCACCCTCGCCGACGTCACCAACCAGGGGCAGACCCTGCTCAGGGACTGCGCCCCCGCCGACAAGCAGAAGCTGCTGGACAACCTTCAAGGTAGGCAGCGCTCGCAGCGCGGTCCTGGCGGCTTCTCTTGGCTTGGCTTGTCACTAACGCAGTGGTTCTCAACCTCAACCTCTCAAAAAAAATTTAAGGGGTCACGGCGAGGTAGCTGGGGTCGTGTTTTGGGCTGATTTTAAGCAGCCACTGCGTCTGATCCGAGGCGGTATGTCGTCCTCCTTCAACGGGCAATTGGTCTTTGGGCCTTCCTTTAGCATGCCTTTGTTACGGAGTGCGATTATCACCCTTAGTTTGGGAGCAGTGTTGGCTCAAAGTTGACCAAAACGGTCAAAAATGCCTTTGAAAAATCGTGTTTTGGGCCGACTTTAAGCAGCCACTGCGTCTGGTCCGAGGCGGTATTTTGTTCTCCCTCAACGGGCATTTGGTCTTTGGACCTTGCTTTAGCATGCCTTTGTTACGGAGTGCGATTATTAGCCTTAGTTTGGGGGCAGTGTTGGCTCAAAGTTGACCAAAACAGTCACAACGATTTTTCAAAGACATTTGCGACCGTTTTGATCGACTTTGAGACAATACTGCTCCCAAACTAAGACTGATAATTGCACTCCGTAACAAAGGCATGCTAAAGAAAGGTCCAAAGACCAATTGCCCTTTGAGGGAGCAAAATGCCCACCTCGGATCAGACGCAGTGGCTGCTTAAAATCGGCCCAAAACACGATTTTTCAAAGACATTTCTGAGCGTTTCGGCCAACTTTGAGACAATACTGCTCCCAAACTAAGGCTGATAATCGCACTCCGTAACAAAGGCATGCTAAAGAAAGGTCCAAAGACCAATTGCCCTTTGAGGGAGCAAAATGCCCACCTCGGATCAGACGCAGTGGCTGCTTAAAATCGGCCCAAAACACGATTTTTCAAAGACATTTCTGAGCGTTTCGGCCAACTTTGAGACAATACTGCTCCCAAACTAAGACTGATAATTGCACTCCGTAACAAAGGCATGCTAAAGAAAGGTCCAAAGACCAATTGCCCTTTGAGGGAGCAAAATGCCCACCTCGGATCAGACGCAGTGGCTGCTTAAAATCGGCCCAAAACATGATTTTTCAAAGACATTTCTGAGCGTTTCGGCCAACTTTGAGACAATACTGCTCCCAAACTAAGACTGATAATTGCACTCCGTAACAAAGGCATGCTAAAGAAAGGTCCAAAGACCAATTGCCCTTTGAGGGAGCAAAATGCCCACCTCGGATCAGACGCAGTGGCTGCTTAAAATCGGCCCAAAACATGATTTTTCAAAGACATATCTGAGCGTTTTGGCAAACTTTGAGACAATACTGCTCCCAAACTAAGACTGATAATCGCACTCCGTAACAGAGGCACGCTAAAGGAAGGTCCAAAGACCAATTGCCCGTTGAGGGAGCAAAATGCCCGCCTCGGATCAGACGCAGTGGCATGCTAAAGGAGGGGTTCCGTGGGGTCGCGAAACTTTTCCCGGGGGGTCGCGGAAATTTTTGGCTACAAATTTGGGGTCGCGAGCCGAGAAAGGTTGAGAACCGCTGCACTAACGGGTCACTTTGCGCAGCCCTGGCCGACGACTTCGCCAGCCTGCAGACGCTCACGTCCCGCCGCCTCCTGTCGCTGTCCGCGCTGCTCAACAGCCGGCGCACGCTGGAGACGGACATGGACCGGTGCCTGCACTGGCTCAACGAGGCCGAGGTGGCCATCTCGGCGGAGATCCGCGCCACCAACCTGGAGCTGCTGCAGGAGCAGCTCACCAAGGTGAGCAGTCGACACCTTAGCGTCGCCTTAGCGTCGACTTAGCGTCCCACAGTGGTAGGTGGCCAAAACTCGGTCTGGCCGCCCCCTCACGTTGACGTCGGTGTTGCAGTACACGAAGCTGAGCGGCGAGTGCGAGGCGGTGGGCGCCGACGTGGAGCGGCTGTTCGTCGGGCAGGAGGCGGTGCTGTCCACCGTGAGCGAGGCGGACCGCGCGCTGCTGGCCGAGCAGCTGTCCGGCATGCAGGTGCGGCACGCCGTGGTGGCGGGCGTCATCGCCACGCGCCTCGATGCGCTGCGCGACGCCGTGCGCTGCCACGAGAAGGCCCTGGAGAAGGCCAAGGACAGCGCCAAGTTCGTGGCGGCCGTGCACAGCCAGCTCAAGGACCTGAGCAGGCCCATCGGCAGCCGCGTCGAGGACGTGCAGGGCCTGCTGGACAACTACCAGGTGAGCGCGGACGGCGGGGACCTTGGCGGGGACGCCGAGGTGGAGCAGAGCCCCTAAAGGCTTGCGGGGGGGGGGGGGGGAGGGGGCAGTGGCGCAGGAACCAAAGCCGGCTAATAAACCTTTCTACTAAAACAAAAACAGTTAAAATATGCTGTTGCTAGAAAAATAATAACAAATTTAAATTGCCTTTTTGCCGAATTTTACTGCGCCACTGAGGTGAAGGAGGTATCTTTGATGGGTCACTCACTTGAAACAACAACTCACTGTGTGTCCTTGTATAGTTGATGTGATTGCGTGTTGGTTTGCCTGGTGTACAGATGTTGGTTTGGTTGATTTGGATCTACTTTTCACGTAGACTGTGTGTATGGTTGGAAGTCGAGTATTGTGCATTTGAAGGAGTGACCGAGTGACACTTGGCGTGAGGTTGAATGTGTTTTACGTGTCGGCAACTTGATGTGAACCACTGGGCTGGCCCTGTTGGCAGGTTCAGTAGGTGGGACGACTCCGGAATGAAGGGCAGTACTGTAATATTTTAAAATTTACTCACTCTAGATTTTACCACCCTTAGACTGTAGGTGTCGTCGCATTTCACACAGGCAAACCTATTGCTTGGTGGATTTCATGTTTTCTGTAAGAAAAAAATGTCAAAACAGAACAGCACATTTCAAATTTTGTTGGTAATCTTCTGTAGAAAGTTGAATAGTCACGCATACACTTGCAAAGACTTTCATCTGTTCTTTCGGAGGAATTCTTGATCATCTCTCATCTTTGTAGATGCGTTAGAAAATCATCCCTGTGTGCTTTTTTTGATCATGAAACTCATCTCATAGGCTTTCTTGTTTGAAATGTAGTGTCATGAGGCACTAATTGTCTGAAGGAGAAACCATGTAGGACTTTACCAGTCTTCATGACTTTTAACTCCATTCCGTCTAACCTTGTATCTTGTAGACTCAATGCCAAACAACCGAGACAAGGCTGTTTTCTTTTTTTAAAATTCTAGTCAGGAGTCCCATTTGTCAGTATTTTGCCAAACCCCATTTGCACTGCCCTCTAACATGCCAAAATTTTCAACCAGATTAAAACACCTATTTTTGTCACTTAACTTTTGTAAAACAATCCTTATATATTAGCGCATATGACTCATATTGTGCCAAACATTTTGAACCAAACCTAGATTCACCAAAATTCAACCACTGCAATTTTAGTGAATCATCTTTCTGACTGCATTCCTCATTTTGCATTTGAAGTTTTTCACCCAGGAGTCTTCACTTTTAAGTCATTTCCCTAAGCCCACTTTGTTAAGGAGAAAAACAAAATTAGAAAGTGGAACCGGTAAATTTAAGCCATGTCCCTTGACCCTTTTCTGAACCTCTCTTTTGAGCCCTTTAACCGTTGTGCGATTTCGCTAACAAGGGGCATGACAGTTTGACTGGACGTCGGCATGCCCGCCCGTTGTGAAGGCTCCTGCACCCCATGTTGTCCCCGAGTCCCTGGAGACCCTGTAGTGGGCCGGCCAGGGCCTGGTCGTGGTGCGTGGTTGTGGGGCGCGAGGGCGGTCGCGTTCACCCCCCTGTCTGTGTGAGCAGAGGCTGCTGTCGGACCTCAAGGACCACCGGTCCTCGCTGAGCGGGCTGGCGGCGGGCAACATCGGCGAGCTGCAGGCCATCGTCCAGGAGCAGGACGACCTGATCGCCGCCATCGAGGCGCAGATCGACCGGCTGCGCAAGCTGCTGCTGCTCCGCGAGCAGTTCATCGCCCTCATCACCGAGATCTCCACCTTCATCCTCACCTACACGGGCGTGGTGCGGGACATCGAGGCGTCGGGGCAGCCCAGCGAGGAGAAGATCAAACGCTACCACGACGTGAGTGCCAACGTTGTCTCGTCGTGTCACGTGGCAGGGGAAGCTCCACTGTTAGATCAAAGGCAGTTTTTGGGCCCTGCAAGTTATCCGCGAATTTCCGAATATTTTCACCAGTGTCGTACTGAAAGGGGAACTTGCACGCAGGTCATCGAGAAGATCCAGGAGTGTGAGGCGCTGCTCGCGTCGGCCGCGGACAAGGGCCAGCAGATCGCGAGCGAGGGCTCGGCGGCGGACCGCAACTCAGTGACGGAGCAGCTGCAGAGCCTCAAGAACCAGCTGCTGGGGCTGCGGCGCGCCGTGGACGCGGCCCGCGAGCAGCTCGAGCAGGCCGCCGCCAAGCACAAGCACCTGGCCGCGCAGCTGGGCGCCGCCCTGGCCTGGCTCCACGGCCACGAGGCCCAGGTCAAGTCCAGGCCGCTGCTGGCGAGGGACCCCGCCAGCGTCGACGCGCAGCTCGCCAGCCACCAGGTACGCGCCAAACTCTCCAACGACAACCATAACCCGGCGCCGGTATTCACTGAGCATCCCTCTCTGGCACGCAGGAGCTGTCCGCGAGCGTGATGGCGCACCTGGACGAGGTGCGCGGCGTGATGGACGCGGCCCGCCCCGAGGACGCGCTGCCCGGGTCGCTCCGCGAGCGCCTCTCCGAGGCCAGCATGCTGCTCAACACCCTCCCCGGCGAGCTGGCCGAGCGCGCCGCCTACCTGCAGAGCAACGCGACGCTGCGGCGCGAGCACCAGGCCCTCAAGGACAAGCTGCACGCGTGGGTCAAGGAGGCCCGCACGCGCCTGGACCGCGACGTCAACGGCGTCGACTTCAGGAACGTCGTTTCCGACCTGGAGATGCACAAGGTAGGCGAAAAAGGTGCTCTGAAAGTAGGCGCGATTTGCCGCCCTAAAAACTGGAGCGGGTTGCAAAGCCACTCAGTTCCGGGGGAGGTCGAGTGTAGCGGAGAGCTGACTGGGAGCCTTCCCGCAGGTGTTCTTCGGCAGCGAGCAGGCCATGCGCGAGCTGCTGTCGCACGACATCCAGCAGGCGGCCGACAAGATCTGGCCGTCGCTGTCCGCCGCCGAGCAGGAGGAGCTGACGAACGAGCAGACGCACCTCACGCAGCTGCTCAAGAACACCCTCAACTCGGCCAAGTCGCGGCAGGCGCAGCTGGAGCAGGACGCGCAGGTGTGGCACGACTACTGCGCCGCGCTGGAGAAGGCGCGGTCGCTGCTGGAGCTGTACCAGTTCACGGACGAGCCCGTCATGAACCTGGCCGGGCTGCACTACAACCTGGACAAGGTGACGCACGCCCAGCAGGACGTGGCGGCCCACCAGTCCGACGTGGACCTGCTCAACGAGCGCGCGCGCGAGCTGACGCGCCTCGCGGACGCCGCCAACCGCGAGCACGTGGAGCAGCAGGTGGGCGCCGTGAACCGCGAGTGGGAGGAGGTGGTGCGCGGCGTGGAGTCGCGCCGCGAGGCCCTGGCCCGCCTGGCGCAGCAGTGGGAGCAGTTCGACGCGCAGTGGACCGCGCTGGAGGCCAAGCTCGGCGACACCGAGGACGCCGCCCACCACCTGGACCTGGTGGTGCGCTCCAAGACACAGCTCAGGGAGTCCAGGAACACGCTGCTGGTGAGTCCAGCGAGCGGCCCTTCCACAGTGGGCCAGAAGACCGATACCGGTTGAGACGGCTAGAACTCTAGAGGCCCTTCCCTCAACAACCCTTCCCTCTTCACCAGGACTTGATCCGCAACCTGGAGGAGCTGCAGACGCCGCTGGACGAGGTGGTGGCGCTGTCGGCCACCATCGTGGCCTTCCTGTCCATCTCGTGCGAGCCGGCGTCGCGCGCGCTGCGGGACAAGCTGCAGCATCTGACGGAGCGCCACGCCAAGTGAGTGCCGCAGCACCGGCCGCCTGTTCGTCTGAAGCGAGGCGAGCGCCCGCAGTGTAGGCCACCCATCGGGCAGCCGGCTCGTCGTAGCGCGTGCCGCTGCCACGCCCCGCCGGGCTGTGTTCGCGGCGTTCGCGGCGACGAAGACATGACTGCATTCCGACGCGAGCCGCGAAACACGCCATGCTACTTACTGGCGCGCGCCGCGTCCGCGCGTACGTGTCCACGACGGCTACGCGCCGCGACAGGTCGAGCCATTAACGAGACGGCAATTAGCCCCCGGCCGCCGTGTGCTCTACAGTGTGCTTGCCTCCGGGGCAGTGGACAGCGGACGCGCCGCCCGCAGCAGTGTGGTGGCAGTGTGGCGGCAGTCGCAGCACTGCCACCGCGGCGCCTTGATGAACGGCAGGGTCGTCACTTGCCCCTGCCGCCCCGCCGGGGCAGCCAGGCAGCCATGCGGCCATGGCCAGCAGACTGATTCCGAGAGCCGCCTTCGTCGCTCTGTCTCTCTCGCACCTACACGGGACGCCCCACGAGTGCGAGAGAGACAGAGCGACGTAAACGACTCTCAGTGTGCAGGGCGGCCAGGGCCAGGGGATTCTCGATGGTGACTCACGACTCTGGCGCTCCGAAAGGCGCGCCAGTTAAAACGCCTCGCGCCAAAACGACGCGCCACTGTAAGGACCGTGAGCACGGCGATGCAGTGCGATGCGCCCGCGGCGGCGCCGTATGCGGGGCTCGCGTGCACGCCGTCATCGAGGCCCTGGAGCTGCAGGCATGCTGCCGGCACCGCGCGTGGGCGGGTGTCCGAGCCGTCCCACCGCCAGCATGGCTCTGACAGTGGCGCCGACAAGGCTGCCGCGGTCCTCACCGCCGCCCTCCTTAAGAACGACATCAATACTAATCACGCGCTGAAGATGCAGGCAGCGCTCATTTTCTGACGGCGTCGTCAGGCCGGAAAAAAAAACAGGATTGGGGGGACAATAATGTTTTGCTTGTGTCGCCGCCGCCGCGCCCCGCGAACAACATCTATCTCTTTATCGGAATGCAATTTAAAGCGCTCGTTTAGTTGCCTCAATCCCGCGGAGCAGGCGAGCCGGTTTGCTTTTTCGATCGGCGTCGCCGCTGTCGCCGGCGGCGACGTTGTCACGTAACTGTCAGGTCACTCTGCCCCGTTCCGTACGTACTCGGCCACTCGGCCTTCCCGCGCGCCGCCGCCGCTGCTGCAGCATGCTGCGTCGTCCCGTTCGTCGTCGGCAAGGTCAAACACTTTTCATTCAAGTTTTTCATTTCGGTTTCATGTTATTGCCATAAGTTTCCATCCATAAGAAGTAGTGAAATAAATTTTGTTTTCGAATTGTCTCAAAAGCTTTTCTTTAAACTTTTGATCTTAAAAAAATCTCATTTTTTGTTTGAAAATGTTTGATTTTGAATCGGACTTACGGCTACGCAACGCATTCCACCAGGCCGAGTACTGGTAAAATTAAGGCGTAAATACACCGCCTTGAAGCGTTGTCCTACGTATCAAAACGCGTCCCTTCTTTTGACCGCCTCCACCGGTCTCTCCCACTGCGTCGTCGTCCTCACCCCCGCGACGCGGCCAGGCCTTGGCGGGCCTCGGCGGCGCTTTACTGCCTTGATTGATGCCCGTCGGCGCCCCGCGGCTCAAGGCCCCGTCGCTCTGTCTCTCTCGCACTCGCGGGCCGTCCCGTCGGTGCGCGAGAGAGACAGAGCGATGCGTCGCTGCTCGGGATCACTCTGCTGTACGGCGACGCGCGTGCGTCCGTCCTGCCGGATACCGACACCCGCCTGGCCCAGTACTGGCACCTCAAAATAGCCCGATACTGGTGTGCGTACGCCGCGTGGCGGCCGCGCCAGGCTGCCGTGCTGGCCGGCCAGTTGGAGTGGCGGCCGGGGCCCCCTGGTTACACCACCCACGCACCGCGTAAACAAAATGTACCGGTACGTTAAAAATAGTTCAATTAAAAATAGTTAATCGAAATGCGGCGCTCCCTAAATGTCCTACGATGAAAGCCTGAACCAATGTGTCAAAGTGGAGATTGTCTCCAAAATTCCAAAGAAATTCGACAAAATATCTGCAAGAGGAACTTTCAAAGGTAAGTTACAAAGTCGGCTGCACCACTGTAGAGGATTTTCACCGTGATATCGAGAATCTTCGCTGTACGACTCTCCCAGTGTGGCGACGAACAATGCGCAGCACGTGCGGCGGGGACACTTGTCCGGAATGCCTCCAGATGCGTTTAGTAATGAATGTATTCGCCGTCAACCAACAATGGTCTCCAATCTGTGTCATTGAATTTCAATATGTGACGTGGGGCCGTGGCCTGGCCCTGGCGCCCCTGCCCCCCTCCACTCGACATGCAGTTTCTAGACTCCAGCCGACCAATTCGTCCACTTGACCAGCCGGGCCCCGCTGCGCCCGTCCAACTATTCTCCGAACCACTGTATGGTAAAATCCCGATCACTTTTTACAGTGTATAAAAGAATACTGAAATATTTTTAACCAACATTTAGCGAGCAAGGCACCCGTGCGTGCGCGCGCGGCTGCCCATCCCAATACGGCGTGCTCATACGGCACACCTCCACTTGTCTATGCTGGTCGGATAGAGGCAAGTCTTCCGCGAAGGCAGCTCACGGTCTATCCTCGGCCTATCCCGGGTCTATCCTCGAGCGGGCGGGCATGGCACGGCCGCCAGGGGGCCGATGACAGAGGCGAGATAACCCTCCGAGCTAAAAAGTGAGAAACGAAAACGGGAGGTGGCCGGCAGCGCCCGAAGGCCGTCCTGTGCGAAGCGTGCGGGTGAACAACGGGTGTCCGGTTGAAATAAAAGCAGTGCACGGATGGATGGGACTCTCGGCGCGTTGCCTCGCTGTGCCGTCGCGTCCCCGTCGTCGCATACCAAAATATGCGAGAGGTGAGAGTTCAAGAGGAGGAATGATGTCATTTCGACGACGGGACGCGAGCGTGGCGGGGCGGGGCGTGGCGAGGCGGGGCGGGGCGGCGAGAAGAAACACTCCGTGCGTCTCGCCCTTGGTGACCAGCGCTCTGGGAGGGGTGAGGTTACAGAATTTGGGGCTCGGATGTGGCGGCCTTATTCGCACAGTGCCGCTCAAGTGCCACCGAGGGCCCCATTGGTCGCGTTTGATGGGGCGAAGCGTCGCCGACTGGGCCATGGCGTCTGTCTGTCGTCTGTCCGTCCGTCGTCCGTCCATGTTTACACTCCGAATCACGTTCGTGTTTGGCGTCCGCCAGCACGCCTGCCTCTGTCCTGGCGCACCTTGTGAAGCGTCCCAGGCAAGGGGTCGTGAAGTCTAGCCTGCGCGCGAGTCTGCTCAAGGACACGCCCAGGACAGCCCCCCGCGTCCAACTCCCCGATGGGGTTAGTGTAGTGGCCATCTCCAGTCTCCGCCCCGCGCCCGCCTAGCTCACATTCTTCAAGTCAGTGACCGGGCCGCGGGGCCGCGGGGCGCGTGGGCGCGGACGGCGCTTCTTTGGCAGTGCCGTGAGCGACGTGCACAGCCGCCGGGCCTTGCCGAGCACTTTTGCCGGTCTTGCACTTATCGCCACCTCCTCGGGCGAACGTGTGTTGGGTGGGTTCGGCCGCTCCGACGGGGGCGAAAATAAATTTTCAATACACCGACAAATGAAACTACCTTTACCACTTGAAGGTTTTTTTTTTTCGGAGCGTTGTCTTCTGCATCTCGGCTTGAGGCGTCTCATTAGTGGGTGTATGCACCCCCTGGAGCAGCAGCGAAAGCCATCAATGTTCTAATGACTTCGGCATCGCTGATGTGTGTGTGTGTGTGTGTGTGTTGGCGCGAGGCCGAAGAGCAGAGGCGAGGTGTCACATGGGAGGCCGTCGCGGCGAAGAAGATGATGATTAAACGCATGAATGTCGTGATGATGTGATGCCGGCGGTATTGGCCCGCTTTTTGAGGGAAGGACGACGACGGACGCGCGTTGCACAACAACAACAACAACAACAACAACAACAACAAGGAGGCATTATTGACGAGTCTAATTGCACAGGCACCGCTCGATCGGAATATCGGGTGACGAAAGGTAGACTGTCGCGGATAATCTCTCTCCGGCGGCCCGCCTCCGCCTCCTGTGGCCGGACCGGATTGTTTTGTTGTTGTTGTTGTTGTTGTTGTTGTTGTTGTTGTTAGGCGTAATGGCGGCTAATCGCGCGCGGCCCGGGGCAATGCGCACGCGGAGTGGGACGACGGCATGGTGACCGTCGAAAACAAGACGACGACGTCGACCGCCACGAGCACCAGGACGACGACGACGACGTCGACGACGTCGATGATGATGGCGGCGGTGATGTGGTCGAGCTATCGAAGGCTGCCACGGAATGCGACTATAAATATCGATGCGCCGCGACCAGGACGGCGCGTGCGGCCGGGACACGCCGGGGTGCGGCCGGACCGTTGTTGTGGCCGCGGCGCCGCGGCGTGGCGACGGCCAACGCCAGCATCACACCGAGGCCTGTCTGTCTCTCTGTCGCACTCATGGGGCTCCCCGCGGTGCCCCGGCTCGGGGGCAGGTCCCGGAAGGCCTGTCGACGGCGGACATGTCGCGGTGTTTTCGCGAGGCCGCCTAATGGGTGCTCGCCGAGCACGCGGAGGTCACCAAGGCCGTGGCCGCCGTGGCCGAGGCCGCGCGCTGGTCGGGGACGTGCTCGTCGCCGTGCTGCCCGCGTGATGCCCTTATCGCCGCCCCTCGCCGGTGTGGGCCCCGCCCCGGCCCTGCTTGCCCTGCGTGGGGCCCCCTGTTGGGAGCGAGGGAGACAGCGGCGAAGCACTTTTTGGTAATCGGAGTGCGGACACTGCACCAGGCTCTTTTTTTCGGGGGGAGGGGCGCCACTTGACTCACTGCTTTCTTCTTCTTTTCATTAACTGGCGCGTGCGTGGTTGGCGATCGGATTGCCCCCCCCCCTCTTTTCCCGCGACGTGTCACGCTCATGGGTGGCGGC